CAGGTCTGCTCTGCCCCAGAAGCTGTCCTCTGAACCAGTTTTCTAGATTGGTCATATTTCACTTTTCATGCTTGCTGCTAGGAAGCTCAGAGCAAAATGTATGCCCTCTCTCTAACAAATGGGTAGGACTTCCTTTTTGTTTTTTGTTTTTTTTTTTTTTTTTTGAGACGGAGTCTCGCTCTGTTGCCCAGGCTGGAGTGCAGTGGCCGGATCTCAGCTCACTGCAAGCTCCACCTCCCGGGTTCACGCCATTCTCCTGCCTCAGCCTCCCGAGTAGCTGGGACTACAGGCGCCCGCCACCTCGCCCGGCTAGTTTTTTTTTTTTTGTATTTTTTAGTAGAGACGGGGTTTCACCGTGTTAGCCAGGATGGTCTCGATATCCTGACCTCGTGATCCGCCTGTCTCGGCCTCCCAAAGTGCTGGGATTACAGGCTTGAGCCACCGCGCCCGGCCGGGTAGGACTTCTTAACCACACTTCTAGGTCTTTCTGTTCTTCTTGCGCTTATATCTCTTTGCCCTATTTAAAATTGCTTTCATTTTTTTTTTTTTTTTTTTGGAGACGGAGTCTCGCTCTGTCGCCCAGGCTGGAGTGCAGTGGCCGGATCTCAGCTCACTGCAAGCTCCGCCTCCCGGGTCTACGCCATTCTCCTGCCTCAGCCTCCCGAGTAGCTGGGACTACAGGCGCCCGCCACCTCGCCCGGCTAGTTTTTTGTATTTTTTAGTAGAGACGGGGTTTCACTGTGTTAGCCAGGATGGTCTCGATCTCCTGACCTCGTGATCCACCCGTCTCGGCCTCCCAAAGTGCTGGGATTACAGGCTTGAGCCACCGCGCCCGGCCTCATTTTGTTTTACTATGTCTTTAAAACTTCTTCAACACTTGCTGGAATAAAGTGGGCTTTAAACAAATGAAGCACTGCAGTTTGAGTGGCAGAGGCTGGTCAGCATATTATAATCAGACCATCAACCCTCTTACTATGCCAGCATGCTTTCTGCTTTTGCATTTTTTATCACATGCTCTATCCCCTCCACTTCAAAAAGAATTTTTTTTAATTGTTTTTGTTGTTATCCAAAAATCTTATCTTAAATCAACCATCTCCTCTCCCCTTAGCTTCATTACCATCTCAGAAGCAGCAAAGGAGCCTACAAAAGCTAAGGTACAGAAAGTCGCTTCAGAGGATGATGGTGAGTGGTTATACTTAATAGAAGCTATCATTTATTAAGCACCTAATGTGTGTCTGCAGCTGGGCAAAACAGTTTTGGTATATTCTTTTTTTTTTGGATAGGGCCTTGCTCTGCCTGGAGTGCAATGGAGCGATTATAGCTCAGTGCAGCCTCAACCTCCCAGACCCAAGCTATCCTCCCACATCAGCTTCCTGAGTAGCTGGGACCATAGACACATACCACCAACCCTGGCGAATTATTTTTTTTTTTCAGAGACAGGATCTCGCTGTGTTGCCCAGGCTAGTCTTGAACTCCTGGCCTCAAACGATCTGCCCACCTTGGCCTTCCAAAGTCCTGGGACTACAGGCATGCACCACCACACCTGGCTAATTTTTGTATTTTTTGTAGAGACAGGGTTTGGCCATGTTGCCCAGGCTGGTCTTGAACTCCTGGCCTCAAGCTATCCTCCCACCTCAGACTCCCAAAGTACTGGCGTTACAGGCATGAGCCTACTGCACCATTCTTTCATCCGCTCAGCCCTGTGGTGAGGCAGGTGTTATGATGAGACCCCATTTACAGACGAGGCGACTGAGGCCCTGAGAAACAAAGTCATTTGCCTGAGGTGGCCTCATCTGTGTCACCCCGCGCAGCAGCACTTTACTGCTGCCCTCCACAGCCTTGCCCATCTGCGTCTGTCCTGTATCAACACATTTGCCACTTTGAAGGCTGCCTTAGGTCAGGAGCTCCAGTGCTGACTTCCAGAAGCCTCTGAGGGCTTGCTGAGCTGATGTGGCTGCTGGCTTCCGCTCCAGCACACCCTCCACTGGCTCCATCAGGCATCACCGCTCCAGCACACCCTCCACTGGCTCCATCAGGCATCAGCATGACTCTTGGCAGATGCAGAATCACTTTGTAGTTAGGCGACTGATTCCCGGGTCTTTGCCTCTGGACCAGGAGCTCCTGAGGGCAGAGGTGGGGCAGCCTCAGCACCTGGCACCTGGGAAGAGGGGTTGGCATCTGGCGGTGCTGACTCTTCCCCTTTGTTTTTTTTGTTGTTGTTATTCGTTTGGGTTTTTCTTGTTATTCTTTTTTAAATTTTTTTAATTTGTGTCTTTTTTAAATTTTTATTTCTCTTATTTTTTCTTTTTGTTCCTTTTTTAAATTTTTTTCTTGTTTCTTTTCTTGTTTACCTTTTTTGTTTCTCATCTTTCTTTTTGTTTCGTTTTGTTTTCGTTTGACTCTGCCCGTTTGAATCTTAGGTTTCCGCCTTTTCTTCACGTCTGTCCCTGGAGGCTGTGAGAAGGAAGAGTCTCCCCAACCCCGCCGAAAGCGACAGCCCTCCAGCTCCAGGTGAGAACTCACACCTCTCCTCACGTCCCATCCTTTTTCCTCCTCTTCTGTCTTGGTGAATAGCCAAGCAGACTCCAGGCAGGACCAGGCCGAGGCATCGGCCCTGTCGGGCAGCTGGATACCTCGTGCTCTCAGTGGGAGGGAAAGCCCTCTTGGTGACGGCTTTGGATGTTTACTGCTTTTGAGCACCCATCTTGGGCCAGATACCTCACTTGATCCTAGTTGCCTCCTGGGACATCCCTGGGAGGCCTGGACTCTGTTAAGATCCCCGTTTTCTAGATGATACTGACGGTCAGAGGGGTTAAGTCACTTAAGGAGGTCACAAGGCTGCTACGCCCAGACGCCAGTATTGGAAGCCAGGTTGGCCCCACTCCCAAGCCTGAACTCGCTACCGGCCTCCCTCTGTGGCTGCCTCCTGGTGACGTGGACCAAAGGAGGACCGCGAGAGGCGGCTCTGGGGCTGTGTCCTGACTCCAGCTAACGCAGGGTGCCCTCGTTGCAGCAGTGAGGACAGTGATGAGGAGTGGCGGCGGTGCCGGGAGGCAGCTGTGTCGGCGTCCGACATCCTGCAGGAGTCAGCCATCCACAGCCCTGGCACGGTGGAGAAGGAGGTAAAGAAGACAAGGAAGCTGAAAAAGAAAGCCAAGAAGGTGGCCGGCATCGACTCGGCTGTAGCCACCCCCACCCCCAGCCCCACCAGCACAGCCACAGTCCAGAAGCAGAAGTCAGGTGAGCTCAACGGGGACCAGGTGTCGCTTAGGACTCAAAAGAAGAAAAAGAAGAAAAAGGCAAAGAAGGCCAGCGAGGCCTCTCCATTCCCACCAGCAAAGAGTGCCACAGCTGTGCCTGCAAATTGAACCCAGCCATGGGCACAGGGCTCAGCTGGCTCCAAGGACAAGGTGCCCCCCTGGGGACAAGGCATTTCCAGGCCCCACCTCCCTCTCCAAGTTCAAGGACTGGGCTGGCAAACCCAGACTGCCCATGAGACCCTGATGGTGATGAGGGCTTGCCTGAGAGTTGAGCCAAAAAAGTGGCTGTAGGGTGAGAAGCCCAAGCAAGGCCTGCCCCTCTGTGCTCCCATGGAGGGCTAGGGGCAGGGGGTGGGGGGGAGGCCTATGGTTCCAGAACATTCCATGGCCTCAGGAAAAAAGGAGCCTTCCAGTTATTTGAGACTAGTGGCCAAGTGGTGAAACCTCCACCTCCCTAGAACTGTCTGAGGTGGGCAGGGGAAGGGAGACCTTCCCCACCACCTCTTTAGCCTGGTATGAGAAACAGTTTTTAGAAAATGAAAGAAGGGATCCCCAAGAGGCCAAGGCCCAGAGAAAGTTTGGTTCTTCTCTCCTTAGCCCCTATAGACTTCACGGAATTATCTGAAAAAGGAGAGCTTTTTCACCCCTGGCTTTCTAGAATTTTCTTTGTCTGCATTTGTGAATATACCACACATGATGGTGTCTCTGAGCCGACCAGATTATGGAAACTCAATTGTCAGAGGACCCAAAACAAAACTTAGAGTGATTTGGGTATTGCCTGTCAATGCTGAACCTTGAGACGTTTTAAATACAACACAAATCTCTATACTCCCAGGATTTGTGCGTTCACCCCACCCAAGACTTCAGGAAGTGTCACAGCACTCGTGGACTAGGTGTCATGTGACAAAGGCATTCTGCAAGAAGTAGAAGCTTGTGACCGGGTGCAGTGGCTCACGCCTATAATCCCAGCACTTTGGGAGGCCAAGAAGGGTGGATCATTTGAGGCCAGGAGTTTGAGACTAGCCTGGCCAACATGGCGAGACCCCGTCTCTACTAAAAATACAAAAATTAGCTGAGCATGTTGGCACACGCCCGTAATCCCAGCTACTCAGGAGGCTGAGGCGGGAGAATCACTTGAACCCAGGAGGTAGAGGTTGCAGTGAGCCGAGATTGCGCCACTGCACTCCAGCCTAGGCAACAGAGTGAGACTCTATCTCAACAACAACAAAAAAAAGTAGAAGCTCGTGGCCAGGCACGGTGGCTCATACCTGTAATCCCAGCACTTTGGGAGGCCGAGGCAGGTGGATCACTTGAGCCGAGTTCCAGACCAGCCTGGGCAACATGGTGAAACCTCGTCTCTATAAAAAAAAAAAAAATACAAAAATTAGTTGGGCATGGTAGTGAGCGCCTGTGGTCCCAGCTGCTTGTGAGGCTGAGGTGGGAGGATCCCTTGAGCCCAGGGGGTCAAGGCTGCAGTGAGCCATATAATGCCACTGCAGTCCAGCCTGGGTGACAGTGAGACCCTGTCTCCAAAACGAAATTGTTTTTTAAAGTAGAAGCTTGAGGTTAAGATGAAATCTGGCTTCGTCATTCGAGTCTCAGCAGAGCCAGAAAAGCAGAGACGTGGGGTGTGAGAGCGTGAGTGCGGGAGCCCCTCTCCTCTTCGCAGACCCCGGGCCTGCCCCAGCCTCCCTCTGCCTGCCCAAACCCCGTCTGAATGATTTGTGGACAAGCAAGAAATTACCACCGCATTTCTCCTTGACTTTACTAAAAGTTAAATAAACGTGCCGCTCACCCGAGCTGGCTACAAGCTGCAGGGGTGCTGGGTCACCCCAGGCCTTTTCCTGAATCCCAGGGTGGAGGCGGTGCACTGAGGGCCAGGTGCTCAGCAGCAGGCCCAGGGATGTGGGACCATGCTTGCCCTGGGTTCACAGGCTCCTTTGTCCCTCCTGGCAGTGCTCAGGACCTCGGACTCCTCAGGGTGGCTACGAACTGCCCTCAGCCAGCCAGACCCCCAGGATTCTATTAGTCCTGTCCACAGAGGTAGCTCCTGTGCCCTGGGGTCACCTCTTTCTTCTGGGCACCTCAGCTTGGCCAGCCGCTTGGGCCTTGCTCAGCTGCTCGGGCCTTGCTGCCTTCTGAGCTCAGCTACTCCTGCCCCAAATAAGGGCAGGGTCTGCAGGGCCCTCGAGACAGGAGCTGCCCCACCAGGACCTAGACTTGGCATGGGTTGCGAGGCTCCCACAGGAATAAGGACAACTTCCCAACCCTGAAGCAGCCTTCCCAGTAGAGGCAGGAGGCCAGGCTGGCCTCAGAGGCGTGATGCTCTTGGGAACAAATACCCGGGAAAGCTGGAGGTCACGGGGCCTGGGAGAGGGAATCGCTGGGGACAGGGGAAGCCAGGAGAGCCCCGCCTGCCTTCCCTGTTAGCTTCGGCCTCCCTGGGCTCGGGCATTGGAGCCCCAAGCTCTGGCACAGAGTAGCCCCCCAGGAAATGCCTGTGTGAGTAGGTGATCGGGTCAGTACAAGTGGCATGTGGGTCACTAGCTGGAAGGAGTTGGGGCAGGATGGAGTGGCCCAGTGGGTGCATTGGTGACCGAACAAGGCCACACTGATCCAGGGCCTCTCAGAGCTCAGCAGGTCACAGCTACACAGGCTTGTTTCCTGAGAAGTGTGGATGCCAGTGTGGTGTAGCGGTCCCAGGGCTCTCCACAGGCCCAGGCTGGGGGTGCCCAAGTCATAGGCCGCCCCCTTCTGTTCCAAGTAAGCAGATTGTGTCCCACACAGCAGGGACAGTCCCTCCTCCATCTGCCAGGAACAGGCTTTGCTCCTAGCTCTCCATGGCCCCCTCTTGTGCAACCCAAGCAGCCCTCCATGGGTTGGGGCGCCTCAGAGCCCTCTGTTTCTGATGCATCAGAGCAGAGTGGGGAGCGAGGCACAGCTGTCCAGGAAGGGCCACAGGAGCTCAGCAGGCTCAGGTCCTTCAGGCAGGGCTAGCTGCTGCCCTCATCACCCCCCAGGCAGGCAGTACAGGCCCCAGGGCCCAGGTGCCGTGGTTACTGGGAGGAAGAGGCCATCTGCGTGGAGATGAAGGTCTCAATGACGCTGTGGTTGGATGGCAGCAGGTGGCTGTGGCCGTTGCTGGAGTCTGAGCTCTGGTACAGCACCAGGCTGCTGGAGGACACTGCGGAGGCAAACGAGGCTGCTGACCACCCACCAGGCACCCACCCCCACCTGCCCGTCCCGAGGGGTATTTGGGATGAGGAGGCAGAGCCACACCTCCTGGATCACAGCAGATAACAGGAACCCCAAAGTCACACCTCTACCCTCGGTTCTTAACAAGGGGAGCCTGCCAGCCAGGGTCCGGGGCCGCCCAGGGAGTGGCCTCAGTACATCTTAGTGGGAATGCTAGAGAAGCCCCGGTGAGATGCCGGGGTACGTAGTTGTACGTATTGGTTTGGATAGGCTGAGCCAAACGCTAATCTAGGCGCTGCTGTGAATGCAGGTGCTCTGTAGATGTGGTTAATGCCACAATCAGTTGACTTTGAGTGAAGGAGGTTACCCTGAAAATATGGGTGGGCCTTCTCCATCAGTGGAAGGCCGTAAGAGCAAAAACCAGTTTCCCAGAGAAGAAGGAATTCTGCCTCAAGGCTGCAGAATTCACTCCCCGGAGTTGCCAGCAACAGATTTCAGGCCTGCCAGCCCCTGCAGACACGCGCCAAGTCCTTCAGGTAAATGCATCGGTTCTGTGTTCCTGGAGAACCCTGGCTGATGGCCATGGTTAAGAGAATGGGCTTTGAGGTTGGACCTGGGTTCGAGTCCTGGCCCTGCCATCTGGTAGCTGTGGGAGATGAGGCAAGTCCCTCCCCTCCTTAAGTGTCCACTTTCTCATCCGTAAAATGGGGGTGATCATGCAGACGCCTCACGGAGTGAATGCCAGGACATAGAATGGCCTCGGTGGCTGTCACGACAGCTGCCAGGGCCGGGTCCAGGAACCTTATAGAAAGGGGGCAGCTTGCAAAAAGACAGGCTGCAAAGCCCAGCCACCTGACTCCAAAGTGCCCACTCCTGATAATGACATCATAGATTACAAACTCAGGTGACCACCCCACCGCCAGGGGTCATTGGAGCCAATGTGAGTGGATGCAGTGAGGCCTGGTGAGCTGTTATATGGGAGTATGAATTTTTCCAATTTTCCAAAAGATGCCAGAAATCCAGATTTCTATGTGAAAATTCCTGATTTTGAAATGTTAGCAACAAATTCAAAGAATGTTCAACCCTGAGCCAAGCCAAACCAGACACGCGCAAGAGTTGCTTCTGGCTCACAGACCTGCTCCTTATCATGACTTCATCTTTTTCCTCAATCCAGCCCCTGAGATGTTCTTGCAAGGTGAACCCTGTCTTCCTGGGGTCACCTGTGCCTCTTGGGCTTCATGGGCACACAGGCCATGTCTGGGAGGCGGGGAACCCCACCCAACCCCCCATGCCTGCCAGTGCTTCCCCACATGGCCTAGGCCTGCTGCATGCACAGCCCCACAGTGACAGGACAGCAACAAAAGGGGTGGGACCAACATGGAAGGGGTCGGAGATAGTAAGGGAGGGGGCGGAGCCAGGGCCTCTCACCCGTGGGGCTGGCGCTGAGCCGGTGGGCTGGCTGCAGGTGCTGGATGCCTGCTGGGTCCTGGCTGGGGACGTGGAGGGTGGTGGCCTGAGAGGCCGGCGTGTGAAGCCCGGACTCACTGGAGGCCTCAGTGTCTGAGGTAAAGACCTGGGGGAGCAGAGCAGCCTCCTGAGTCCCGGGGATGTGGGGGTGAGGGGCTCTGTCACAGGCCAAGGGAGGGCCAGCAGGCCTGGACCTTACCTGCTTGGTGGGCGTGAGGCTGGCCAGGGCGCTCAGGTTGGTGGTGTCAGTGATGAGCATAGTCTGCGGGAGCAGGCCCGTGTGGGTGTACTGGGCCACCTCGGGCTTGTGGCTGTAGAGGGCTGGCCGCAGGGGAGAGAGGGGCAGACGTGGCAGACGTGCCTGACAGCCCCCGTCCCAGGCCTCAGGACCGGGGAAAGGGGGCCATGGAGCCTGCTGAACAACCAGACTGGGCAGCAATTGGAGATCCAGGACTGATTTTCAAAACTGGGGGCTCCAGATAGAGGGACAGACCCTTTCCCCATCACAGGGAACTGCTCAGCTGGGATTGATGCAGGGGAGCCTGGAGGAGGCCAGAAACCAACTCCAGCTTGTGTCACCTGGAGACAGCAGGTATGAAAGGGAACGGGAGGCGTGGGTGCAGGGCTACTGTACTAAGCACAGGTGCTACGTACTAAGCGCAGGTGCTACTGTACTAAATGCAGGTGCTATGTACTAAGCACAAGTGCCATGTACTAAGCACAGGTGCTACTGTACTAAACTCAGGTGCCGTGTACTAAGTTCAGGTGGCCCCTGTCAAAGAGCAAGGCAGAGGACAGCAGTACCTCCATCTCCAGGCCATCTCTCCAAATAAAACCCCATGTTTTGCCTACAGCACCTCCCCCCACCCTGCAGGAGACACACAGACCCCACAAGAGACATACAGACACTAGGAAAACTCACATAAACCACATATTCTCACAGTGACTCAGACAAAAACGTAACACACACACATACATTCTCAACCACGTACACACAGAGACATATACAGACCCAAAATCTCTTAACCCAGTCCCAAATTCCAAAAAAGTCTGAAACCAAAAGATTTCCTTAAGATTGGCACTAGAGCTCATTTGGTGGCAAAACCCAGCCTGAACCTGACATGAGGTTATGAGTGTTTAAACTGCCTTGTAGAAATCCTACTTTGGCTGCAGAAATAGCAGTGCTTTGATCACAGTGGGCTATCTCAAACCCTGCTAGGAGTGTTATGTGATAGCTGGCATATCCACCAAATTACCTTTCTTTCTTTTTTTTTTTTTTTTTGGCAGAGTCTCACTCTGTTGCCCAGGCTGGAGTGCAGTGGCACAATCTCAGCTCACTGCAACCTCCACCTCCCGGGTTCAAGCGATTCTCCTGCCTCAGCCTCCCAAGTAGCTGGGACTACAGGCACATGCCTCCATGCCTGGCTAATTTTTTTTTTTTTTTTTTTTTTTGAGACGGAGTCTCGCTGTCTCCAGCTGAGGCAGTGCGTGATCTCGGCTCACTGCAAGCTCCGCCTCCCGGTTCCCATTCTCCCCCTCAGCCTCCCGAGTAGCTGAGACTACAGCCCCCCACCACGCCCGGCTAGTTTTTGTATTTTAGTAGAACGGGTTCACCGTGTTAGCCAGGATAGTCTCGATCTCCTGACCTCGTGATCCACCCCCCGGCCTCCCAAAGTGCTGGTACAGCTGACCACCGCCCTGCCGCCTGGCTAATTTTTGTACTTTTAGTAGAGACGGGGTTTCACCGTGTTGGCCAGGCTGGCCTCGAACTCCTGACCTCAAGTGAGCCGCCCACCTCGGCCTCCCAAAGTGCTGGGATTACAGCTGTGAGCCACCACACCTGGCCCCAGATTACCTTTCTAAAATCTGAATAGATTTTAGAAATTCATATGGCCCTAAGAGTTTCACAGAAACAGAGGCACGCACACACAAACGCATGCACAACTGACACACACCTAGACATGCACTAGGGATCTGCTCACACAAGCAGTCATGTGCACACACACAGATACGTGCATTCACATGGGAACACACTGTGGCCTGCAGACACCCTCAATCACGGAAACACACTTGTCCTGGAGACACACTCAGACTGCAGCGCCTGCCAGGCACCCCCTTCCCCTGCATCCATTGACAGCCAACCTCTGTCATCATCTCCCGCCTGTGTGGGGCACAGGGTGCTCACCATGGGGGCTCTGCAGCTGGGCCATGGTGGCCATGAAGGGGCTCTGGGTCACATGGCTCTGCACAGGCGGCATGAGCGGCTGCTGGTAGGAAGGGTGCAGCGGCTGGGAGAACTGGACGGGCTGCAGGGTGGTCAGGCTGCTGCCCATGCTGTTGATGACCGGCACACTCTGTGCCTGCGTGGAGGCCAGGCCTGGAGTGGAAGGGGCGGGAATCAGCTGGGCCCCCCAGTTACATCCCATCACCCCCCAAGACCTCCCAAGGGCACCACCTCTCCTTCCCAGAGCCCGTGGTTTGGAGGAGGGGGCAGGGTGGTCAGGAAACAGCCCTCCACTGGGACCTGCCACTAATTTAAGTGGCTCTGGCAAGTCATTCCCCCTCTTTGAGCCTTTAGCTCCTTATCTAGGCTAGTGGGAGAGGCAGGCAGTGACTTGTTCAAAAGTCGTCAAACTGAGGTTCCCTGGAGCCCTGGGGTTCCACAGCAGTGCAAAGGCCCTGGGGTTAGCTCTCTGCTCCCCTCTCCTAGCAGCTCCCTATCTATCTTATGTACTGGGCTTCTGCATCATTGTACCTACAAATAAAGGCTTTCTGGGCTTAATTTTTCTTCATAAAACAAAAAACTTAGAAAACATCAGTCCCCCTTACCCTGCTGTAATTTGCCCATAGACCCTTCACCTTCTGAGGTACCACAGAATTGATGTATTATGCTTAGTGCCTGCCTCCCTGCTTGAGTTGCTGAGATTTTGGTCTGTTTGGTTCACCCAGGTATCACTGATGTAGCACAGTGCCTGCTCCAGAGTAGGCACTGGAGAAATACGTTGTATGAATGAATGAATGAGTCCCAGTGGCTCTTCCAGCTCCTGGATTCTGCGGTTGCCCCATAAGCCTCCCACCCAGGTGCCCACCCATCCCCTCCAGCTTACCGATGACCAGGGTGGAGGCACCTGTGTTGGTGAACGTAGGACCCAGGGAGGCAGGCTCACCAGGCCCGATGGTCATGACCCCAGGAAGTGAGGCCATGATGAGGTTCTGGGGCTGCTGGTTGAGGCCTGGGGATGTCTGCTCCAAACTGTGCAGTGCCGTCAGGGTGCTGACAGGGGGAAGGGGGCCCCCAGCTGCTGAGACCTACGAGGGGAAGCCAAGGTGAGTCGGGGGTGGGGGCGGGGTCCCAACAGGGCCTCCCTGGGGACTGTTCCAGAATCTCCCTGCCAAGGAAAGATGAGGTTGGGTTTTCCCTACAGGCAGGACGCTCACCAGCTTGGCTTCTGTACTCAGCAGGCTGTGGCTGGGCTCCAGGCCCGTGGGGGACACTTGGTGCAGGGGTGTAGACACTGTCACTAAGGGGCCGCCACTGCTTGAGGGCACTTCTGAAGTCTCACTGGTCGCCGGCTGTCCATAGCGCACACCTGGAGAGGGAAGCAGTGTCCTGCCTCAGCACCCCACTTCCCAGCCCTCCCCTGCCTCCATAGCCCTCATCGCTTCAAACTCCATTGGTCTGCTTAGGCCAGCTGCCTGTCGGCCTTTATGCAGCCAGCAAATCTGCCTGTGTTTCTACCTTTTGCCAAGCCCTGGGTTAGCTGCTCCCAGTTCCTTGAAGGCTGGGACTGCATTTATTAGCTCCATTCCCCGCCACTGCCTAGTGCTATACCCGACATGCAGTAGGTGCTCAGTGGAAGACAACTGAATTGAATTTAACTGAATTTAGTTGAGTTGAAATGAATTGAATTGATACAATCTGAAATGAATGAATTGAATGGAATTAACCCAAATCAACTTAGGTTGAGTTGAGTGGAATGATATGAAGTGGAGTGGATGGTATGGAGTAGTATAGATTGAATTGAGTGGAATGAGTGGGATCAAGTGGAATGGGTACCGTAAAGGGTGGAGAGGATGGGTGGGAAGGAATAAAATGGAGTGGAATGGTGTAGGGTGGAGTGGATGGAATGGTGAGGAATAGTGTGGAGTGGAGTGGAATGAATGGAGTCGTGTGGACAGAGTGGAGTGGAATGGTATGGTATGGAGTGGAGTGAGTGGGTTGGAGTGGAGTGGATGGAGCAGAGTGGAATGGATGAAGTATGGAGTCATGTGGGGTGAAGAGTGGATGGGACAGATAGAATAAAATGGTATGGAGTGGAGAGGAGTGGAGAAAAGAGTGGGTAGACTGGATGGAGTCACATGGGTGGAGTGGATGGAGTGGAGTGGATGGAATGGGTGGAGTGAAGTGGATGGAGCACAGGTAAATGAAGTAGAGGGAGTGGAGTAGATGGAGTTGAGTGAGTGGAGTGGATGGAGTTGAATGGAATGGATGGAGTAAGTGGATGGAATAGAGTATGGAGTGGATGGAGTAGAGTTGAATGTAATAGATGGAGTGCAGTGAATGCAGCGGGGTATGGAGTCGATGGAGTGGAGTTGAATGTAGTGAGTGGGATGAAGTTGGATGGAATGGATGGAGTGGAATGAATGGAGTGGAGTTGAATGTAGTAGATGGGATGAAGTTGGATGGAATGGATGGAGTGGGGTGGATAGAGTAGAGCTGAATGTAGTAGAGTAGGGTGGATGGAGTGGAGTTGAATGTAGAGGATGGGATGAAGTTGGATGGAATGGATGGAGTGGAGTGGATGGAGTAGATGGAATAGAATAAAGTGGATGCAGTGAAGTTGAGTGGAGTGAATGGAGTAGAGTGGAGGTGAATGGAGTGGATGGAGTGGAGTTGAATGTAGATGGGATGAATTTGGATGGAATGGATGGAGTGGAGTGGATGGAGTAGATGGAATAGAGTGGATGCAGTGGAGTTGAGTGAATGGACTAGAGTGGATGGCGTGGAGGTGAATGGAGTGGATGGAGTGGAGTTGAATGGAGTGACTGGAGTAGAGTGGATGGGTGGGGTCGAATGTAGTGGAGGGAGTAGAGGTGAATGGAGTGGATGGAATGGGGTGAATGGAATGGGGTTAATTGTAGTGGATGGAGTGGAGTGGATGGAGTGAATAGAGTGGAAAGGAGTAGAGTGAATGGAATGGAGATAGAGTGGAATGGATGAATGAACAGAGTGAAGTAGAGTGATAAGGAGTGGTGTGAATGGAATGGAACCAAACTGTAGTGCTAAGAGGTTTAGGTGGCTGCTGTCACTGGGACAGTCCTCCCCAACCCTCCCACCTTCCCCCGTGTCCCCTGTCCCCACAATACCACTCACCGTGGAGCTTACTGGGAGAGAGGGCAGGCGGGGGCAGGCTGGGGGAACTGTGAGCCGGCAGCGCAGGTCCCGGGCCTGGCCCTGGTGGGGGCCCGCTGTATGTGTCCATGGCCAGCTTGTGCCGGAAGGCTTCTTCTTTGCGCCGGTTGGCAAACCAGTTGTAGACACGCACCTCTGTGACGAGGTTGGAGCCCAGCCCCTGTGCCTGTGATGGGGACACCCCCCTCTGGATGCATTCCGCCCTGCAGAAATAGCCACCCATGAGTCTCCAGGCCAGGCTCAGAGGAACCCTGTCCTGGGCATGAGGGGGAGGGTTCTGAGAAGCTGAGCTCTGCCTGAGGGTTTGAAGCTGGCAGATCTGGGTTCCAATGCCAGGTCTGCTGTATGACGTTGGGCAGGTGACAGTCTGTCTGACCTCAGTCTCTCCATTCATAAAGTGAGCAAAAGAGCCATAGGATTGTAGAGGGAATCAGATTAGGTGGGCATCCATGGAAGGGTTGCTTGGTGTCCAGGGTGCAGGGGGGCTGCGAGGAATGGGGTTAGGTTCAAGTATTCTTAATTTTCTGGGCCAGGCTAAGCCAACATCAGGAGTTCTCGGCGACTGGACAGCCTTTTACAGGACCTAGAGTCACCTTCCCCTTCCCTGGCCTTGCCACAGCCCAGACCAAAACAGCACTGTTTCCCGCCCGCCATTGTACCTGTTGCACTCCTCCACCAGCGTCTCTCGCTCCTCCTTGCTGGGGTTCTTCTGCCTCTCATAGGCCTGGAACAGGATCTGCTGGGATGCTGGGCCCCACTTAAAACGGTTCCTCCGCCCCTTCTTGGTTGGTAGCTCATCACCTGTGGGCTCTTCAATCAGCCCTCCCTGCCCTGCATGGGTGAACTCTGCAGGCACAGAAAGCTGTGAGTGGGGTACTGGCCACTCTCAACTTCCCAGGTCAGTTCCTCTGACCTTGCCCTTGATTCTTTCTCATTGCCTGGGTGCTGAACCAGAGTAGCTTACGGCTAGAACTTAGAAATCATCTAATCCGGCCGGGCGCGGTGGCTCACGCCCGTAATCCCAGCACTTTGGGAGGCCGAGGCGGGCGGATCACGAGGTCAGGAGATCGAGACCACGGTGAAACCCCGTCTCTGCTAAAAATACAAAAAAATTAGCCGGGCGCAATGGCGGGCGCCTGTAGTCCCAGCTACTCAGGAGGCTGAGGCAGGAGAATGGCGTAAACCCAGGAGGCGGAGCTTGCAGTGAGCCGAGATCGCGCCACTGCACTCCAGCCTGGGCGACAGAGCGAGACTCCGTCTCAAAAAACAAAAACAAAAACAAACAAAAAAAAGAAATCATCTAATCCAGTGATGACAAACACACAACACATATGCCATCACTTTCTTAACCAGTGTCCAAGGCAAACATCACTAATCAATCCCTGAATGCTTTCCTACCAACCCAAGATATGATCTCACCATTCTTCTCAATACAAGACTGCAGGTAAGCATTAGCATTTGTTCCTATTTGGCACATTTACTATTCCCATTTTACAGATGAGGAAGCCGAGGCTCAGAGGGCTTGCATATTTTTCCAGGGTCATGCAGTAGAGCAAAAACTGGAGCCATATGTCCTCAGTAGATTCAGAATTATATTCAGCTTTCCAGACTTGAAAATCAGGCTTTAAATGCAAATGTTAGCTAGAGGAAGAGACCCAGCCAGCCTTCATCAGCTGATATCACTTTACTGGAAACTAGTCTACTGGATTATTCCTGAGCAGGCCGCCAAAGGACTGGGACACACAAGTGCCAGGACAGCACTTTATGAGAAGAGAGGAAGGTAGGTTCTGAATCAGGGGCACAGCAGCAGCAGGGCCCTCACCATCTCAGTGCCAAGAAGCAGCAGCAGGCACAAGTGGCTAGGACTACAGGCGTGCACCACACCTGGCTCATTTATTTCTATTTTTATTTTTGTTTTTTGTAGAGATGGGGTCACCTTCTGTTGCCCAGGCTGGTCTTGAACTCTTAGCCTCAAGTGATCCTCCCACCTTTGCCTCCCTGGGTGCAACCACACCAGGCTGGGAGCTGGTAATATTCTGGTTTTTATCTGTATTGGAGTGTTCACTTTGTGAAAATTCATTGAGCTGTATGCTTTGGATTTGTGCACTTTTTATGTTAGACTTCATTTAAAAGTTTCTGTTATAGCAGACACAGTGGCACGTGCCTGTCATTCCAGCTACTTGAGAGGCTGAGGCAGGGATCACTTGAGCCCAGAAGTTCAAAACCAGTCTGGGCAACATGGAAATACCTCAGCTCACAAAATGAAATAAATAAAAGTTTATATTATTAAGTATATAAAAAAAGAGTCATTCAACTGAAAGTAGCTGAAAAGGAGCTGTTTTCCTTCGGAGGTTGCTAAGCTGATCGGATGGCAGCCCCCGGCTTGCAGAACCCATCTTTGCCTATGTGAGGAGAGCCTGTCTGAGATTGAAGCCCACAAAAAAGAAAACAGAGTCAAGAAATGCTGTGTGAACCTCGTTTGAGCCCCTTGATCTAACCATGCCTGAAGCAGCCCTGGACTCCTCACATTGCATCAGTCGATACCTTCCCTTTTCTGTTTAAATCCATTTGAATTGGGGTTCTGTCCCCTGTTACTGAAAGAGTCCTGATACTTCAGTCATATATTGACTCTGCATCTCAAATTCCCCAATTTCTCCTTAACTTTTAAGTTAAAAATCCCCCAGGGAAAGCTATTTGGGCCAGTTTGCATCTCTATTCTCAGCTTTAGGCTGAAGTCCTTGACGACATTTCTAACTGTTAGAAAATTTTAATGCATTTTATCGAATATTGTAAAATTTCTTCTAGTGATGGTTTGAAGAGAACACTATTTCTCTCAGAAACTAAATCTAGTTCTAACAGATTTTCAAAATCTTTATTGTTTCTTCTCATGCAAATTAAAATAGTGTTAAAATGTACTGTTTTTCCCAGTGTGTATTACAGCACAGTAGAGTGTGAACACCCCAATAATTGGGATGAGGGGTAGCTATAGAGTAAGGATTAGAGCCATCTATTGCATGCACGCATACATACATACATACATTTATTTATTTGTTTATTTATTTGACAGAGTCTCCCAGGCTGGAGTGCAGTGGCATGATCTTGGCTCACTGCAACCTCTGCCTCCTGGGTTCAAGCGATTCTCTTGTCTTGGCCTCCCAAGTAGCTGGGATTACAGGTGTGCGCCACTATGTCCAGCTAATTTTTTTGTATTTTTAGTTAAGACGGGGTTTCACCATGTTGGCCATGCTGGTCTCAAACTCCTGCCCTCAAGTGATCCACCCTCCTCGGCCTCCCAAAGTGCTGGGATTACAGGCGTGAGCCACCGCGCCTGGCCTGCATACTTTTTTTTTTTTTTCAGCAGTGATTTTTACTGTTGGTGGAAGTGTAAATTGATATAACTTCTTTGGAAGGAACTATGCCAATATGTACCCCAGATTTTAAAGCAGCTCTTCTGTGTTCCAGCATTCCACTTCTAGGAACTTATCTTACAGACACAGTCACATGTGAACATGCACTTATGTAAATAAGGATGTTTTTGCTGCAGTTGGTTGTATTCGCAGATTGCAAAAACCCTAAAAGTCCTTCAGTAGGTGGCCAGTTAAATAACAGCCAGCCGCGAGGTGGCGGGCGCCTGTAGTCCCAGCTACTCGGGAGGCTGAGGCAGGAGAATGGCGTAAACCCGGGAGGCGGAGCTTGCAGTGAGCTGAGATCCGGCCACTGCACTCCAGCCTGGGCGACAGAGCGAGACTCCATCTCAAAAAAAAAAAAAGAATGAAATCAATCAATCTCTCAGTGCCAATATGAAAACATGTACAGGATTTATTGCCAAGAGACAAAACACAATGTGCAAAATAGTGTGTCTAGTATGTTCCCATTAATCAGAAAAAGAGCAAGAAAACAACATATCTATTGCTACTATATGCAGAAAATCTCTCTGGAAGGATACACAAGAGTCTGGGAATTTCAGTGGCTGCTTTAGGGGAAAGACATCTAATTTTTCTTATAAACTCTGTTTTTCTTTTTTTTAACCAAATGTGTATTGCCTTTCTTTCTTTCTCTGTCTCATTCTTTTTCTTTCTTTTCTTTCTTTTCCTTCTTTCCTTTCCTTCCTTCCTTCCTCCCTTTCCTATCTTTCCTTTCTTTCTTTTTTAGAGGAGGAACCTTGCCATGTTGTCCAGGTTGGACCCGAACCCCTGGGCTCAAACAGTCCTCCCACCTCAGCCTCCCAAGTAGCTGAGATTATGGCACACCACCATGCCTGGCTATTTCTTTTTTTAAAAACCTGGATAATTAATAAATGTCAAAAAATGTTACACATAGATAGAGGTTGGAAGGTGACAGTGCACCTGGGATTTGGTGGGGTATGAGGCCTGGAGAAGAAAACCCGCCATTCCCTGAGTAATAGGGCTCCCAGAGCTTCCTGAGTTTGCAGTGGAGGATTTCCTGAGCGCAGACCTTGCCTCTGAGCCTTTACTGATGCTGTTCCTTCTGCCTGAAACACCCTTCCCGGCGTCTCCAGGGGTCAAAATTCAACTCCCACTTTAAGACCTAGTCTAAAGGTCATATTTGCAATGTGAGCCTTCCTAATACCTCTGCCTTCCTGAGGAAGAACAGGTCACTCCCCAGTGGACCGTCAGCTCAGCACCCTGAAATGCTTTGTGTAATACTCTGCACTGGACCAGGCACCCCAAAAACACTTGATAAATAGTAGCCATTATTATTGTTGTTGTGGCTGCTGTTGTCCCATTCTAATACATGTCTCACTGGATCCTAATGATCTTTTCTCCCACTTTCCCACTTAACCATGGGCTCTTAGAAAGCAGGGACCCAGGCCGGGTACGGTGGCTCATGCCTGTAATCCCAGCACTTTGGGAGACTGAGGCGGGTGGATCACCTGAGGTCAGGAGTTCAAGACCAGCCTGGCCAACATGGTGAAACCCCGTCTCTACTAAAACTACAAAAAATTAGCCAGGCATGGTGGTGGGCACCTGTGATCCCAGCTACTCTGGAGGCTGAGGTGGGAGAATTGCTTGAACCTGGGAGGAGGAGGTCACAGTGAGCTGAGGTCACACCATGGAACTCCAGCCTGGGCAATAAGAGCAAAACTCTGTCTCAAAAGAAAGAAAGAAAGCAGAGACCCAGTTCATTCATCTTTGGATGCTCAGGACCAAGCCTACTCCTGTCCCACAGAGCGCCTGGTGCAGAATAGGTAATAAATGCAGGTTGAATCCCACGGACTTCCTTTCCATCTACCTGTCTGTGCAATGGGGATGGTGAAGCTTCCAGCCCCCACCTGTGAGTTAGGGGAGAGTCCTGGGCCCTCCCAGGGAAGACGCGGGGTAGGGTTGTTACTTACGCTGCGCCACCTCTCGCTGCTTGCGGACGTACCAGGTGTACAGGGCGGCCCGCTTCTGCGTCTTCATGGGGGTGCCCTTGTTGAGGTGTTGGGACAGGTGGGACTGGTTGAGGCCAGTGGTGTCGACCACCTCCCGCTGTGGGATGTTGTGCTGCTGCAGGTAGGACTTGACCATCTTCGCCACACGCCACGGGTCCTCCCTGGGAGGAAGGGCAAGGACAGGGTCTGCTCAGCGGGGGTATCCCTCCCCATAGGTGGGGCTGGGGCCCTGGGTGCTGGAACCCTTGTCAGCCCTGAGGGTGGGGACTGTGCATGAAAGCAGTTATGGAGCCAAGGGGCCTACACTTGGACTCAGGGACAGGGAGGTATGGTCATTTATGCCAGGACACAGGGACACAGACACCTGGTCATGAGGACAGAGACTTGTAGATGCACACACATGACAAACATGGGCACAGGCCTATGGACACAGACACTGGAACAGATAAAGGTTTAGAAACATGGATACACAGACATGGACACAGATGAAGATATATGGATAGATGGATGGATGGGTGAATGGATGGATGGGTGGATAGGTGAATGGATGGATGGGTGGGTGGGTGGGTGGGTGGATGAACTGGTGGATAGATGGATGGACTGGTGGATGGATGGTAGGGTAGAATGGATGGACAGATAGATAGGTGGATGGATAATGGATGGATGGATGGATGGATGGATGGATGGATGGATGGATGGATTGGAGGTGGGTGGGTGGATGGATGATGGATGGATGGACGAAGGAGAACTGCTGGAAAAAGGAAAGCATTGAATCTGAAAACAAGGAAAGAAATATGGATTCTCCAATTTTACACCCAGAGCCACTGAGGCTTACAGAATTTGCATCATTTTGTCCCTTGTCCAAGGTCACAGGGCAAGCAGAGTTCCATCCGCCTAAAAGGATTCAGTTCTAAGATAGCCTTTCAGGCAGAAAATCACAAAGTCAAAATGCTTCCTGAGGCTGGGTGCGGTGGCTCACACCTGTAATCCCAGCACTTTGGGAGCTGAGGTGGGAGGATCACCTGAGGTCAGGAGTTTGAGACCAACGTGGCCAACATGGTGAAACCCTGTCTCCACTAAAAATACAAAAATTCACCGGGCATAGTGGTGGGAGGCTATAATCCCAGCTACTTGGGGGAGCTGAGGCAGGAGAATTGCTTGAACCTGGGAGGTGGAGGTTGCAGTGAGCCGAAATCTCACCACTGCAGCCTGGGTGATAGAGTGAGACTCTGTCTAAAAAAAAAAAAAAAAATTCCTGAAAATCTGCACCCCTGGCTGTGGCCAGGCCAGTTTCCCCACAGCACCAGAACAGGCGGCTGGTTTTTCCACAGAGTCCCAGGTGACAGGGTTGACATTCAGAGGCCTCATAGTACCAAAAATGCATGTGAACACTGGAATGCCACTCTGTGGGCTGAGATTTTCCCACCAGAGAGACTCAAGGGACCCGATGCCACCTGTGACTCATGTCTCTGCTCACTGTAGGTCTCCCCATGGGGGACAGAAGGGATCAGACAGCCTGAGCCATATACATTTTCTCTCCTCTCCTGCTCTGTCTCAATCCCCGCCTCTCTCTCTCCCTCTCCTGAACTTATATTACCAGTATGTCACAGATAGGCCGGGTGCAGTGACTCACACCTGTAATCCCAGCATTTTGGGAGGCCAAGGTGGGCGGGTCTCTTGAGGTTAGGAGTTTGAGACCAGCCTGGCCAACATGGGGAAATCCATCTCTACAAAAAAATAAATAAAAATAAAAAATAAGTCAGGTATTGTGGCAGGCGCCTATAATCCTGGCTACTTGGGAGGCTGAGGCAGGAGAATCGCTTGAACCCGGGAGGCAGAAGTTGCAGTGAGCCAAGATCGCCACTGCATTGCAGCCTGGGCAGCAGAGTGAGACTCCGTCTCAAAAAAAAAAAAAAAAAAAAAAAAAAAAACAGATAAATACAGCTCAATACAGCAGCACTGAAACAGGCAGACTGGGATTTGAACTTGGGTCTGCGTGATTCCAAAGCCTGTGCTCTCCCCTGCCTCACTGAGCAATTCGCTTCTAGAATTTGAGCCTTCTAACATTGGCACAGGTGACAAATGGCACAAGTAGAAGGCAATTCCTTGCCACATTGCTTGCCATAGAAAAGATTAGAAGCAACGAAGGAGCCCAGCAAAAGGATCCTGATTAACTAAATGGAGGTGCATCTGTTCAATGCAACCACTGAAAAAACCCCACTGAGGAAGCTCTGTGTGCCCAGACGGAGCGGAGTTTATCTGGTGTGTCTGCTACACTGCTATTTATGAAAAATTTGAAGTGAGGTAAAAGAGGATTTCTAGAGGATTTCTACGTATTTGTGCACATGTAAAATACCGGAGGGCACTCACGGAACTGGGGACTCTGGTTGCTTCCAGAGGAGAACGGGGTGCTGGGGATGGAAGTGAGAAGGACAGTCTTCTCTGGTGTCCGTATGTACTTTGTAAATTATGTAACATATACTATACTATATATGCATACATGATTTTGATTTTGATTTACTTATTTATTTATTTTTTGAGACAAAGCATTGCTCTGTGGCCAGGCTGGAGTGCAGTGGCGTGAGCTCAGCTCACTGCAACCTCCGCCTCCCGGGTTCAAGCGATTCTCCTGCCTCAGCCTCCCGAGTAGCTGGGATTACAGGCACGGGCTACCACACCCAACTAATTTTTATATTTTTAGCAGAGACGGAGTTTCACCACGTTGGCCAGGCTGGTCTTAAACTCCTGACCTCAGGTGATCCACCCACCTTGCCCTCCCAAAATGCTGGGATTACAGGTGTGAGCCACCATGCCTGGCCAATATTTATTTTTATGTATTTATTTTCTTTTTAGAGGCTACTTGTTCTGTCACCCAGGCTGGAGCTCAGTAGCATGATCACAGCTCACTGTAGCCTCAAACTCCTGGGCTCAGTTGGTCCTCTCACCTCAGACTCCCAAGTGCTTGGGACCACAGGCACGTCCCAATGTGCCCAGCTAATTTTTGTACTTTTTTTTCTTTCTTTTTCTTTCTTTTTTTTTTTTTTTTGGTAGATCAGGGACTCGCTATGTTGGCCAGGCTGGTCTCAAACTCCTGGGCTCAAGCGATCCTCCCACCTTGGCATATATAATATTTAAAACTGAACTGTAAACCAGCAATTGTGGCTCATGCTGGTAATCCCAGCTATTTGAAAGGCTGAGGTGGGAGGATCAGCCTGGACAACATAGTGAGACTCTGTCTCTATAAAAAAAATAAATAAATTAGCCAGGGATGGTGGTGCACACCTGTAGTCCCAGCTTCTTGGGAGGCTAAGGTACGAGGATTCCTTGAGCTCAGTAGTTTGAGACCAGCCTGGACAACAGAGTGGGACTCTGTTTCTACAAAAAAATAGAAAAATTAGCCAGGTGTGGTGGCACAAGCCTGTAGTCCCAGCTACTCAGAAGGCTGAGACGAGGATCTCTTGAGCCTGGGAGGTCGGGGCTGCAATGAGCTGTGATTGCGCCACGGCACTCCAGCCTTGGCGACAGAGTGAAACCCTGTGTCAAAAAAAAAAAAAAAATCTGAAAACTCATGTTTCCTGAGGATTTACTGTGAGCCAGACACCGTGCTGAGGGCGGCCGCTTACATCTTATAACCCTAAGAAGTAGACGCTGTGCCCATTTCACAGAGGAGAAAACTGAGGCTCAGAAAGGCGCAGTCACTTGTGCAAGGTGATCTAGTTGGGACTCCAAAAAAATTTCATGTTGCCAGGAACCCCCCCGCGGGCCTCTCCCCAGCTTCTCTCTCTCCCTTCTTTCCTGGGCTCCTAGGATCCTCTCTCCTTCACCTCCCCGCTTCTCTGGTTGCCAGTCAGAGCTCAGAGGGAAGGGCAGTACAAAGTCCAGCCTGGTGCTCCGTGGCAAACATGTTTATCTGATCCTAGAGCCAGGCTGCCCGATGCCTCCCCTCCCCCATCTGCAGCCATCACCCTCCTGTGCCGTGTCCTCCTGTGTCCTCCCTTCCTCCATCCTTCCCTTCTCTCTCTCCCAAAGAGAATAGGGTCAGTCTTCCTCTCACCAGAGCCTCTCCTGGGCTCAAACCAAAGATTTGCTATGTGCCCCTGTCCATCTGATTCCATGTCTGTCTGTTTCTCTCTCTCTCTCTCTCATTCTCCCATACCAGGTCAAATTTAAGTTGAACTTGAAAATAAAACAAAGGCCGGCCAGCCTGCACCAATACATGTGCAACCCTTAGAAACAGAAGACAGGCTTTTGAATGTGAAAATGGAAAGCAAACTGTTAAAGTGAGCTGATACGAATGTTCCGCTTTTAAACAATTCCTAGTAGATTTGGGCAACAAATCCATAACAAAAAAGTGAATTTTCAATGCCAGTTAGGAGACAGAGAGCCGAGAGGGCCTGGCTTTCCCTTTTCTGGGAGAAGCCTCCTGTGCCACTTTTTTCTAGAACCTACTGAATCAATGTCTCTCTCTCCCCCCACCCCCCACTCTCTTGCTATCACTCTCATCTATCTCTCTGTGTGTCTCTTACACACACACACACACACACACACACACACACACACACACACACACACACAGAGTCTCCAAGGGCCTGACTCTTTTTGAGGGCAGCTTCTCCAACTGTCCTAGCTCAGAACTGAGAGGCCAAGGCTGCACTCCGTGGTTCATGCCTGTAATCCCAGCACTTTGGGAGGCCGAGATGGGTGGATCACATAAGGTCAGGAGTTAGAGACCACCCTGGCCAACATAGTGAAACCCTGTCTCTACTAAAAATACAAAAATTAGCTGGGTGTTGTGTCGTGTGCCTGTGGTCCCAGCTACTCAGGGGACTGAGGCAGGAGGATCACTTGAACCCAGGAGGCAGAGGTTACAATGAGCCGAGATTGTGCCACTGCACTCCAGCCCCAGCAGCAGAGTGAGACTCTATCCCCCCCCGCCAAAAAAAAAGAAAGAAAAGAAAAAGAAAAGAACCAAGAGGCCAAGTCTCTAGGCATCTCCTGCTTTGACTCTAATGGGTTTGAGAGTCAAAGCAACATGGGTTAAAATCCCACCACTGCAACCTAGCCGCACGTGCTCCTGTATGACCCACATCTGCCCTGTAACGTGGGGAAAATCCACCCCTACCTCACACCGCTACTGGGAAAATTAAATGAGCTTCAAATAGGGAGGATGAACTTAGGGCAGTGCCTGGCACACAGTAAGTGCTGAATTTGTGGAATAATATTGTCATCATCATCATCTTAATGCAGCCCTGGAGACCCTTGACCCCACACAGCAGAGCCCAGGAGAGGTGAAGACCCGCCCACATCTTCCTCCTCTCTCTCCTACCCATTCCGGGGTCAATCAAATGTCCAAGGCTTTGAGCCTTTTGCCCTCTTGCCCCTGGAGTTTCAGGGCATGCAAGGTTGTGGTGTTCATCCCCACATCTGGAGGGGGAGCTGACTTCTCAGTGTGGGGGCTTTAGATACGGCCTTGATTCTTTGCTTAACCTCCGTGTGCCTCAGTTTCCTCATCTGTGAAATAGGGCGAATGATATTTCAGACTTCAGAGATGGTGGGGAGGGAAAAATGAGCTTAGTGCATTTTGTAAGCCCTTTATGAACTGCGAAGCACTGTATGGAAGTGAGTTGATGGTCAAGTTGAACAGCAGGCATGACAGGAAAGTGCAACCTCGAGGTTGCTGTATGGAGCTTAAGGTAGGAGGACCCAGGTCCAAATCCTGGCCTGCCTTCAGTCCTTCGGAAGAGTTTTGTTCGGTGAGGCACTGCCTCTCTCAGCCTTAATTTGCTCATCTGTAAAATGGGATCACTAATAATGACTGCTGTGTATTGCACTTACTACATGCGTACTCTACAAGTGCCATGCCATTTTACCCTGTGGACAAGGGTTATTGTCATCTCTACCCTGCAGACAAAACTGAGGCTCAGAAAAATAAAATCACCTGCTCAGGCTAGAAAGGGGCAGAGCTGGGATTAGGATGCAGGCAGTCTGGCTTTTGTCGGGGTGTCAGATCCTCTGTCCTCCCTTGGCAACTGTCTTCCTGGGTCTCGGTGCCCTGATCCTGCCTGATGGGCAGGATCAGAGCACTTCAAGGTTGGGGTTTGAAGGCCGGGGGCAGTGGCTCATGACTGTAATCCCAGCACTTTGGGAGGCCAAGGCAGGTGGATCACCTGAGGTCAGGAGTTCGAGACCAGCCTGGCCAACATAGTGAAACCCCATCTCTACTAAAATACAAAAAATCAGCCAGGCATGGTGGTGCGCACCTGTAATCCCAGCTACTCGGGAGGCTGAGGCAGGAGAATCACTTGAACCCAGGAGGCGGAGTGCAGTGCGCCACTGCACTCCAGCCGGGGCAACAGAGCAAGACTCTGTCTCAAAAACAAAAACAACAAAAAAGAAACAGGTTGGGGTTTGAGCTGATCAGGGACAGAAAGGACCTAGGAGGATACCCAGGAAGGAACCCTGGGTCCCAGTTTCTCCCTTGGCCACATCTCAAGCTGCTGGGCCCTGGCCAACAGAGCAGTAGATATCTTCAGGGCCTCAGAGAATCCCAGGCACTCACTCATTCCTGCTGTGCATCAGCCACTGGGCAGGATGTGGGTACAAGTGGTGAATAAGGCAACACAGGCCTCGTCCTTGAAGAGCTTCTATTTTCATGGCAGGAGATAGAAAACAAACAGATAAATCAGATGATCACAAGTCATGACAGGGAACCAGAGAAAGTAAATGACAGCAGTGGAAGAGAGTGATGGGGGGTGGGGCCCCCTTTTGAATGGAGCAATCAGGGAATGAAGGAGAAGGAACCGGCCATGGGAAGATCTGGAAAGGGGTTCCAAGCAGCAGGAAGAGCACGTGCAAAGGCCCTGGGGTGGGAATTGGCTTGGGGTGCTGAGGAACAGCAAAGCCAAAATGGCTACAGCAAAGGCAGGGAGGAAGAGAAAGACCTGGGAGGAGATCCAGGAATTTGGTGGGGTGGAGGGAGGGGAACGAAACCAAGGCAGGGAGTTTGGATTTTATTCCTTGGCCAGGAAGGGAAACTAAGGCAGAAGGAGAGGAACAGACTTGCCCAAGTTCACTCAGGGAACTAAGGGGCAGATCTGAAGAAAGAGCTCAGGTTCCTGCAGTGGCCAGAAACATGGGCCACCCCAGGGAGACCTGGGACCCAGGACACACCCGGCTTCTTCCCAGACACTGACTTCTCCCAGGAAACAGCTTCTACTAGACGTTCCGCCTCTGTACCATCTTCCCAGCCTCAACCTCCCCGATGGCTCAGGCCTTCAACAGGGGTCCCCCGCCCCTCTCTCCCTGGCTCCTTCCCCGACCCTGACGCTGGAGGCCCCACTTTTTTCACTCAGGGCGTTTTCCGATCCCTTTTGTTACCTGAACAATAAGTAACCCAGGTAGTTAGTTATAAACTGTACAGGAACAAGGAGCTGGTTGATAATTTATAGCAACATCTCACATTTAAATGGAAAGTAAATAGCATGCTGTTAGCATTAAAGAAAACCCAATCGGGGCAGGCGGGAAGCACTCCAGCCTCCTTGCAAGCTTGGGGCACCTCATTCTCTCCCGTGCCCCTTCTCCCAGCTGGGTCTGAGCCCCCGCCCCCCGGCTCCTCCGTTCCGCTTCTCCCAGCTTCTCTCTCCATCTACCCCGATGGCCTCTTTCTACACTGTCTGCCTCAGCTTCCAGGTCTCTGCTGGTCCCTAGGAAGCACTTTGACCTCTGCTTCCCCTTCAAATGCTGTGGATCAAGCCTCCCCCAACCCCACCATCCCACCAAAGGGGGCTGCTGACCAAGAGAGCTCACTCAGTCAGGTAAGAAAGCATCCCTTGCCCCCACCCTCACCCCAAAGCCCCCAGTCCCATCTGGGGCCCTGGGCAGGTCCGGCCCAGCCCCACCCCGTCGAGTTGCCTTCGCCCTGGGTCTGGGATGCCTGACTCTTTGCCCCTCCCCTGCAGCTCTAGAGTCCTTTGCCCTCCTCTTCCTGCCAAGTCAGGGGGCCCTGACTGCTCCCCTGCCCCCTGTCCAGGCCCTCGGGAGGCTCCCTGAGGCCTCTGGGAAAGCAGGAATCCACCAGCCCTCCCCCACCCCAGCTGGGATCAGGACCTTGGACAGAAAAGAGATGGGCCCCTTCAGAGCATCTTTGGGACTCGCTGTCTCTCTAACTCCCTGGCCACCCCCTGCAGGCCTCTGACCCCTCATCATAGCAATTGAGAGCAGCAAACAGAGTAGGTTTGGGGCCTCCGTTGGGTGAACTTAGTCCAGCTTCTTCCCCGCTCTAAGCCCCGGTTTCCCCATTTGTGAAACAGAGTCACTAATAGTTTCTGCCCAGGATTTCTCTCACCGTGAAGGGAAATTATTCCTGTGAAACCTCAGCACAGCGCCCAGGAAGTAGTAAACCTCCCCAAGCAGGCGCTATAGGGTGAAGGTCAGGGAGCCCCTGGGGAGGGGTGGCCCCTGCAGCCCCCAGGCCACCCTTCCTTCTACCCCACACCCCATCCCCCACCCCCACTAGGTGGGAGGTGGGTTGGCCCAGATCTTTCCAGGCCACCATTTCCACAAGTTAATGATCACAGACCTTATCAGAGCCTTTCACCATTTATAAATTTATAAAACAAAAGAGAAATAATAAAGCATGTGGGTAATTAGTAACTAGGTCAGCTCTGCTGAGGAGAGGGGAGGCATCAAGCTCAGGACCCACCCAGTTCTCCAGGAGACGGGGAGTCCGCCAGTGGATGGGAATGTAGAACGGGGAGCCTCTAATGGCGCCTGCTGGTGAGGTGGGGTGCCTGTGGCCACACAGGAAAGGGGAGCAGCTCCCACCTCGAGGCTCTGTCTGCCTCAGGTAAGAAAGACCTGGGCTTCCCTGGCTAAATGCATGAGTCCCTAGGAGGCCAGGGAAGCCCCCAAAACCCCAGCTTCGGGCCCTCCTCCCTGGCAGTGCTTCCTGGCCCCCGGAGCCTACCCGCTGAGGACTCAGTGCAGGAGTTAGGGTCTGGAGAGTATACATGATCCTAGGGGCTAAACATTTCCACCACCCCCCAGTTCTCCAGGCATTTGAGTTGTGAACTCACCTGCTCTTTCTCCCATCTTGGACCCCCCGGGAAATGTCTCCTGCCCAGGGACTGGGCTGAAGGCCTCAGCTCGTGGGGATTTGGGACTCCGCAGAGGAGAAGTTCAGGGGCTGGAGGCTCAACCCTCCAAGCAAGGACCCCTGGGCTCTCATGGACCCTGTCCTCCTTCCCAGCAGCTAGGCTAAAGGCTGAAGCTCATGGGGACTCGACTCAGAAGGGGGGCTCATTAGGAGCTGAGGGGGGCCCCTCTAGGCTCTTCCTGGGACCTGGGACGGGGAAGGGCTCCTTACTGCAGAAGGGTCTCCACCACGGCTTTCTGGTGGGCTGCCTCCTCAGGGCTGAGGTTCTCCAGCTCTTTGAGGATGGGTGGCGTGAAGTCTTCCCCATCGTCGTCCGTATCATCCTCGGAGCCCCGAGTCTCCCCCAGCCCATTGGGCAGCTCAGCCAGCTCCCCTCGACCGCCGCCGCAGGACTCCCCCTTGTCCAGGGGGCCATCTCCAGCCAGGAGGTAGGGCTCCGGCTCACCCAGTGCCTGGATCAGTGCCTCTTTGCTCAGCCCTGACTCGAGCAGGGCCGCCAGGAGCTCCGTCTGCAGCTGGCTCAGTTTAGAAACCATGGCTCGGCTGCCACAGGGCCACGCGGCCTGGGTCCACCACGCTAGCCGCCTCCCCCACTGCGTGGGTTGCGTTTGCCTGCCAGCCGGCAGACACAAACCAAACTCCTTGCACCCACTGCCCCCCCAAAACCCCACTAGCCAAGCCCCGTGGGCACCCCCAACCCCCAACCCTGGCCCCAGCGGCCCGTGAATCAGGGCCCCTGCCTGCTCTGTTTACATTGGAGCTGGGGAAATTCTCCAAGGTTCATATTTATCCGTGTGCTTAGCGAAGGGACTGAACTTTGGACTTCAGCCCTGCAAAGTGCAGGCCTCATGGCAGCGGAGAGGGACAGGGAGCTATGGCCTGCGATGGGAGTGGGCAGAGGGGAGGGTGGGGGAGGCGCAGGTGAGGGGCCCTGAGAAGCTGGGATGGAAGGTCCTGGGAGCCAGGCAGGCCATCAGGCGAGCAGCATTGGGTCCCACCCCCGAAAGAACCTTGTAGGGGCATCATGCTGAGACAGGAGAGCCAAAAACGCTTGCTGCTTACCAGAGCAGCCGCCACAGGGAGCTCTGGACAGCTGGGCCAGCTCTTCTCAAGGGCAGAGGACATTCACGGCCATTTTGGGACCCTTCCACCCCACTCCCGGCCTGGCACCAGCCCTCCTATAGGAAAAAATATGTGAAGATTACCATGTGCCAAGAACAGTGCTGGCTCTGTAAGGGCGAATTCACTGCATCGCATTCTGCTGCCAGCTGTGAGTAGTTACGGAGATTATCCCCATTTTATAGAGGAGGAAATCGAGGCTCTGAGTGGTTAAGCAACTTGTCCAGAGTCACACAGCCAGCAAGGCACAAGACTTGCAAGGTGAGACTGAGTTGAGATGAGTATGGCACTTGCCCCAGGTGCAAATTTTTTTTTTTTTTTTTTTTGAGCTAGGTTCTCACTTTGTCACCCAGGCTGGAGTGCTGTGGCGCAATCATGGCTTACTGCAGCCTTGACTTCTTGGGTTCAGGTGATCCTCCTGCCTCAGCCGCCCAAGTACCCAAGTAGCTGGCACTACAGGCACACACCACCACGCCCAGTTGATTGTGTGTGTGTGTTGTGTGTGTGTTTTGGGTTGTGTATGTGTGTGTTTGTCACCCAGGCTTGGAGTGCAGTGGAGCGATCTTGGCTCACTGCAACCTCTGCCTCCCATGTTCAAGCAATTCCCCTGCCTCAGCCTCTGGAGTAGCTGGCATTACAGGCACACACCACTACGTCCGGCTAATTTTTTTGTGTTCTTAGTTGAGTTGGGGTTTCACCATGTTGGCCAGGCTGGTCACAAACTCTTGATCTCAAGTGATTCACCCACCTCGGCCTCCCAAAGTCCTGGGATTACAGGTGTGAACCACTGTGCCCGGCCTTGTGTGCATATATTTTGTGGAAAGGGGGTTTTGCCATGCTGCCCAGGTTGGTCTCAAACTCCTGGACTCAAGCCATCCACCGACCTCAGCCTCCCAAAGTGTTAGGATTACAGGTGTGAGCCACCATGCCTGGTGCAAATTTTAAGGGAGCGCCAAAAAACCCAGTCACCAAGGTAAATAACATTTTTATGCAATATATTTTAAAAATTAAAATTAATACAAAACCCCAAAGAATTAAAAACAGATGTCTGTACAAAAACTTGTGCATGAATGCTCATAGCAGCATTATTCACAAGAGCCAAAAAGTGGAAAAAACATAAATATTCATCACCTGATGAATGAATAAATAAAATGTGGCTCGACCATGCAATGATATAGACATGTACACACACACACACACACACACACACATATATATTTTTTTTTGAGATGGAGTCTCGCTCTGTTGCCCAGGCTGGAATGCAGTTGTGCAATCTTGGCTCACTGCAACCTCCGCCTCCTGGGTTCAAGCAATTCTCCTGCCTCAGCCTCCCGAGTATCTGGAAGTACAGATGTGCATCACCACGCCCAGCTAATATTTGTATTTTTGGTAGAGATGGGGTTTTACCATGTTGGCCAGACTAGTCTCGAACTCCTGACCTTAGGTGATGCGCCCGCCTTGGCCCCGCAAAGTACAGGGATTACAGGCATGAGCCACCGCATCCAGCCAGTGCAATGGTATATTATTTGGTCATATAAAGGAATGGAGTTCCAGTACATGCCACAACATGCATGAGCCTTGAAAACATGATGCTAAGTGAAAAAGCAGTCACTGAAGACCACATAGTGTGAGTCCATTTATATGAAATGTCCAGAACAGGCAAATCCATAGAGACAGAAAGTGGATTCGTGGCTGTCAGGGCCTGGGTGGGAGAAGGGAATGGGGAGTGGCTGCTCCATGGTGCCAGGTTTCTTTAGGATGATAAAAATGTTCTACAGTTGATTGTGGTGATATCGGACAACTCTGGGACTGTACTAAAACCCACTGAATTGCACATTTTAAAAGGGCAAGTTTGATGGTATATAAATCAGTAAAAAAAAATGTTTTAGCTTTATTGAGATATACTTACCATACAATTCACCCATTTCATGTGTGTAATTCTGATATTTTTGTTTTTTATTTTTTTCATTTTTATTTATTTTTATTTTTTGAGACAGGGTTTGGCTCTGTTGCCCAAGCTAGAGTGTAATGGCATGATCTTGGCTTGCTGCAACCTCCGCCTCCTGGGTTCAAATCATCCTCCTACCTCAGCCTCCCGAGTAGCCGGGACTACAGGTGCACACCACCACACCCAGCTAGTTTTTTTTTTTTTTTTTTTTTTTTTTTTTTTGGTAGAGTCAGATCTTCACCATGTTTCCCAGGCTGGTCTCAAACTCCTGGACTCAAGAGATCCTCCCACCTCAGCCCCACAAAGTGCTGGAATTACAGGTGTGAGCCACCATGCCCAGCCTCAAAACATATTTTTTAACTAATGTAAAATAATTTGTGGTGAACAAAATAGCAAACATCTAAATAAAGACAGGCCCTGTGGTCAGGCACAGTGGCTCACGCCTGTAATCCCAGCACTTTGAGAAGCCGAAGCAGGCGGATCACCTGAGGTCAGGAGTTCGAGACCAGCCTGGCCAACATGATGAAACCCCGTTTCTACTAAAAATAAAAAATGTTAGCTGGGTGTGGTGATGCACACAGGAGGCTGAGGCAGGAGAATTGCTTGAACCCAGGAGGCGGAGGTTGCAGTGAGCTGAGGTCACACCATTGCACTCCAGCTTGGGCAACGAGAGTGAAACTCTGTCTCAAAAAAAAAAACAAAAAACAAAAAACAAAAAACAGTCCAGGCCGGGCGCGGTGGCTCAAGCCTGTAATCCCAGCACTTTGGGAGGCCGAGACGGGCGGATCACAAGGTCAGGAGATCGAGACCAGCCTGGCTAAATACGGTGAAACCCCGTCTCTACTAAAAAATACAAAAAACTAGCCGGGTGAGGTGGCGGGCGCCTGTAGTCCCAGCTACTCGGGAGGCTGAGGCAGGAGAATGGCATAGACCCGGGAGGCGGAGCTTGCAGTGAGCTGAGATGCGGCCACTGCACTCCAGCCTGGGCGACAGAGCGAGACTCCGTCTCAAAAAAAAAAAAAAAAAAAAAAAAAAAAAAAACAGTCCTGCCCTCACCCAACAGTCACATGTAGCTACCAAGCACTTGAAAGATGACTAATGTCACTTCTTGAAATAATTTTTAAAAATGTATATTGAGTTAAATTTTTAAATTAAGAAAACTTAGTCCAGGCGCGGTGACTCACGCCTGTAATTTCAGCACTTTTGGGAGGCTGAGGTGGGTGGACCACCTGAGGTCAGGAGGTCGAGACCAGCCTGACCAATATGGTGAAATCCCATCTCTAATAAAAATACAAAAATTAGCCTCAGGAGGCTGAGGCAGGAGAATTGCTTGAACCCGGGAGGCAGAGGAGGCAGTGAACCAAGATCATGCCAGTGTACTCCTGGGCGACACAGCAAGACACCATCTCAAAAAAAAAAAAAAAGACAATTTAAAAGTTAACGTTTAGAATAATTTTAGATTTAATTAAAATTATATTTTTGTATATTATATATTAGTGTTATAGTTTAAAATAATTTGGTTTAAATTAATTAAAATTTTATTTATAAAAATAACTTTTTATTTTAAAAATTAAAGAAAATAACTTCACCTGTTTCATCTTTTTTTTTTTTAAGAGCCAGAGTCTCACTCTGTCACCCAGGCTGGAGTGCAGTGGCACGATCATAGCTCACTTCAGCCTAGAACTCCTGGCCTCAAGCAATCCTCCCACCTCAGCATCCCAGGTAGCTGGGACTACAGGTACGCACCATCATGCCCAGCTTCGTTTATATATTTATCTTTTTTGTTTGTTTTTTGAGACAGAGTCTCCTTCCATCGCCCAGGCTGGAGTGCAGTGGCACAATCTTGGCAAACTGCAACCTACACTTCTGGGGCTCCCGTGATCCTCCCACCTCAGCCTCTCCAGTAGCTGGGACTACAAGCACTTGCCACCATGCCTGGCTAATTTTTTTTTTTTTTTTTTTTGTAGAGACAAAGTCTTGACACATTGCCCAGGCTGGTCTCAAACTCGTGAGCCCAAGCCATCTGCCCACCTCGTCCTCCCAAAGTGCTAGGATTACAGGGGTGAGCCACGCACCCTGCGTATTTATTTACTTTTCGTAGAGATGGGGGTCTTGCTTTGTTGCCCAGGCTGGTCTCGAACTCCCGGGCTCAAGTAATCCTTTCACCTCAGCCTCCCAAAGTGTTGGGATTACAGGCATGAGCCATCTCACCTGGCCAGTAATGTATTTCACTCTATGAGCAACTCATGAATTAGGAACTGTTATAATCCTCCTTCTGCAGGGGAAGAAAGAGAGGCTCGGAGAGGTTAAATGATGACTCAGAGTCCCTCAGAGCTTTAAGTTCCCCTGAGCCAGGCGGCTGGCTGTGCAGGACAAGTTGGCAGCCCCGCCTTAAGGAGAGCGGTACCCTCTTTCCTCCAGTGCATTTATGTTTTATTTTTATTTTTGAGTCAGGGCCTCACTCTGTCGCCCAGGCTGGAGTACAGTCATGCGATCTCAGCTCACTATAACCTCTGCCTCCTGGGTTCAAGCAATCCTCCTACCTCAGCCTCCTGAGTAGCTGGGATTACAGGCACACGCCACCACGCACAGCTAATTTTTGTATTTTTGGTAGAAACGGGGTTTCACCATGTTGGCCAGGCTGGTCTCAAACTCCTGGCCTCAAGTGATCCGCCCACCTCGGCCTCCCAAAGTGCTGGGATTACAGGCGTGAGCCACCGCACCCGGCCAAGTGCATTTTTTGGTAACACCCCGTGCAAGTTGCTTTGAGATTGGGCAGCTTCCTGCTGGGGACAGCATTCTCAAGTCCAGACTAAACAGGGAACATGCTATGCGCTGTCCCTTTGTGGCTTTGAGGTTCTCCTGCTTACTCTCCTTGATGCCTGCAGCCACCTCTTGGTGACTTTCCCTTTCCAGGGAGCCAGAGGAACCAAGGAGGATGGGGCCTGACTCCTGCCCCCAGCATGTAAACTCATTAACTGCTGGGTCCTCAGGCAGTTAGGTGGCTGAGCATTTGAGTCTGGGACCGCAGGTGGGTTTGGTTGGACAGGGAATGACAGAGGTTGGGGAGGAGCCTCCAGAGAGTCTAAAGAGATAGGTACACAAGCAGAAAGTTCCAGCCCCCGCCCCCCGCCTGCCCTTCCCCCACACTCAGGGGACAAAGCTGAATTAACTCAAGGTCAGGAATGGCATTTGCATTCTTGAGAGTCACTGCAAATAAGAGCTGTAGTCATGGTGAGTGGTTAAGACAATGGACTAGAGAATCACTGAGAAAAAAACAAACAGTGGCCAGGCGCGGTGGCTCACGCTTGTAATCCCAGCACTTCGGGAGACTGACGTGGGCAGATCACTTGAGGTCAGGAGTTCGAGACCAGCCTGGCCAATGTGGTGAATACCTGTCTCTACTAAAAATACAAAAATTAGCCAAGCTTGTCAGTGGGCATCTATAATCCCAGCTACTTGGAAAGGCTGAGGCAGGAGAATCGCTTGAACCCGGGAGGTGGAGGTTGCAGTGAGCTGAGATCGTGACACTACACTGCAGCCTGGGTAACAGAGAGAAACTGTCTCAAAAAAAAAAAAAAGAAAAAGAAAAGAAAAGAAACGGCCGAATGCGGTGGCTCACACCTGTAATCCCAGCAGTTTGGGAGGCCGAGGCAGGTGGATCACCTGAGGTCAGGAGTTCCAGATCAGCCTGGCCAACATGGTGAAACCCCATCTCTACTGAAAATACAAAAATTAGCTGGGTGGGGTGGCGTCCCAGCTATTCGGGAGGCTGAGGCAGGAGGCTAGCTTGAACCTGGGAGGCGGAGATTGCAGTGAGCAGAGATCACGCCGCTGCACTCCAGCCTGGGTGATAGAGTAAGATTCCATCTCAAAAAAATTTGAAAATTAAAAATTAAAAAATGAACAGTTATGTTTAGTAAGTGCAGTATGTAGGCCAAGATAACTACTAAGTATGTCCTAACAACTTAGTAGCTGCTTGAAAAAAATAATGCACATAAATTTAAAAAAAAATATATATATATATATATATTTTTGTTGTTGTTGTTTTCACTCATTCTTAACTTCCTGTAAGGATGTACTAACGGTAGGCGTGTGCTGTTTGTTGGGCTGTCCACAGCTACTCAAACCTTGAAATTAGATTGGTCGCTATCACTCTCATTTCCTGTTACACAGTAACTTTTGCATGGCTCTTGCTTTTAATCCTGACAACTGCCATACACTCAGCTTCACAAAATCATGTCATTGTGGAAAGGAAGGTTCCTCCAACATTCAGACATAACTATCCTGAGCTGGTAGTTTGCAAGGTGTCCGACAGATGTCGCTGTGTTTCCTTAACAAATTCTCTAAAATAGTCCACTGTGTCCCGGGGCAGAGTAGATATTCAATAAATGGTGGCTGTGAGTTTTATCACAATTCTCTCCTACTGGGTGAGCAGCTGTTTGCAAGGCTAAAATTCTGGCAAGGCACAGGCTTCCCCTTGGTCTTAGCAGCCAGCACAAGACGAGTGTCCCTTCAGCCAATCTCAGAGCTCTTTGGCAATTCAACTGACCCTTGTCCTTCAGTCCAGACAATGCCCCAGGCCCACGTGCATTCAAACTCGGACTGTTCTCCTTCCCACCCCTACTATCTTTTCAACTTTATGGACAGTCCATGCAATTTTCTCATCCATTTTCTCATTTAACATCTAACAGCTTCATGATATCCCCATTTTACAGATAAGGAAGCCAAGGCTTTAAGAGGATAGGGAACCTAATCAGCTAAGGCAGAGTAGGATTTGAACCCAGATCCCCGTGATGCCAGAATCTAAGCCTTGACTAAATATGTGTTACTATTTTCTTTTTTTTTTTTTTTTTTGAGACGGAGTCTCGCTGTGTCGCCCAGGCTGGAGTGCAGTGGCCGGATCTCAGCTCACTGCAAGCTCTGCCTCCCGGGTTTTTACGCCATTCTCCTGCCTCAGCCCCCCAAGTAGCTGGGACTACAGGCGCCCGCCATCTCGCCCGGCTAGTTTTTTGTATTTTTTAGTAGAGACGGGGTTTCACCGAGTTAGCCAGGATGGTCTCGATCTCCTGACCTCGTGATCCGCCCGTCTCGGCCTCCCAAAGTGCTGGGATTACAGGCTTGAGCCACCGCGCCCGGCCAATATGTGTTACTATTACTTTTGTTGTTGTTGTTGTTCTGGGCAACTCCAACCCCCTGCCCATTGGCCTTGTCACCTCAGTGCTCATTTTGCAGATGAAGAGACTAAGGTTCTGTGGGGCTGGAGCACAGTGGTTAGGAACAGACTCTAGAGCCAGAGTACCTGGGTTTGAGCCTAGTTCTGCCATTTACCAGCCATATGACCTTGGGCAACTTGCTTCTCTGCCTTAGCTTCCTCTTCTTTGGGTTGTTAGGAGAATGAATGAGGTAACATCCATAGTGTCCAACACCCTGCAAGCGGCCAAGTGTGGTGGATCACACCTGCAATTCCAACACTTTGGGAGGCCGAAGCAGGTGAATCATTTGAGGTCAGGAGTTCAAGATCAGCCTGGTCAACATGGCGAAACCTCATCTCTACTAAAAATACAAAAATTAGCCGGGCGTGGTGGCACACGACTGTAATCCAAGCTACTGGAGAGGCTGAGGCAGAAGAATCGCTTGAACCTGGGAGACAGAGGTTGCAGTGAGCCAAGATTGCACCACTGCACTCCAGCCTGGGTGACAGAGCGAGACCCTGCCTCAAAAAATAAAAATAAAAAATGAACAGTGTCCAGCACCCTGAAAGCACTCCGCATGACTGAACAATCGCTGTTATGTAATTACCAATATGAGGCCCCCACTCCTCTTGGCCAAACTGAGTTCTCTCCTCTTGTAAAAACTTCTGCATATGAAGTCATCCATTCCATTTGACCCTTTAGCCCTCATCCTGGCATTCAAGGGCATGGACAACTCAACCCCACTCTCTAAGCCAGCCTGACCTCCCCATTCCTTTCTCTGGCACAGAGGGCCTTCTCACCACCTGCCCTTACTCCCTGCCCGCTGTTGTCAGCCTGTACTGTGTTGAAGCTCCCAGGACAGACAACTGCAGTCATCTCTTTCCGCTGTGTTCAGTGATGTCAGTTCGGCCCAGCTGGGGGTATTCGCATCATGGAAACAGATCATCAGATTTGGTGTATGTTTGTTTTATTTTGCTTTCTCAGAGAGCCGTTTGTTAAACATTAGCCAACACCCCATTGATGCTATTCCTTCTGCCTGAAACACCTCCCCACTGCCAACGAGCTCTAAAGACAAAAGGACCTGGGTCTGCATTTCCCAAAGGCAAGAATCTGGTATCACCTTCATATTGTTTTCCCATATTTGAGCACCACTGCCCGTAGCATTATTTACTTAGCAGTTTTGCTCCCGTCAACTCGCTTTTTAAAAATTAAACTTATTTTAAAAAGAAAAGTTTTGGCCGGGCATGGTGGCTCATGCCTGTAATCCCAGCACTTTGGGAGGCCGAGGTGGGCAGATCACCTGAGGTCGGGAGTTCGAGACCAACATGGAGAAACCGTGTCTCTACTAAAAATACAAAATTAGCTGGGCGTGGTGGTACATGGCTGTAATCCCGGCTACTCAGGAGGCTGTGGCAGGAGAATCACTTGAACCCAGGAGGCAGAGGTTGCCGTGAGTCGAGATCACACCATTGTACTCCAGCCTGGGGAACAAGAGTAAAACTCCATCTCAATAAAAAAAGACAAAGAGGCCGGGCGCGGTGGCTCAAGCCTGTAATCCCAGCACTTTGGGAGGCCGAGACGGGCGGATCACGAGGTCAGGAGATCGAGACCATCCTGGCTAACTCGGTGAAACCCCGTCTCTACTAAAAAAATACAAAAAACTAGCCGGGCGAGATGGCGGGCGCCTGTAGTCCCAGCTACTTGGGGGGCTGAGGCAGGAGAATGGCGTGAACCCAGGAGGCAGAGCTTGCAGTGAGCTGAGATCCGGCCACTGCACTCCAGCCTGGGCCACAGAGCCAGACTCCGTCTCAAAAAAAAAAAAAAAAAAAAAAAAAAGACAAAGAAAAGCTTTATATAATTTTAATACACAAAAGAACAGTATCCCGGCCAGGCACAGTGGCTCACGCCTATAATCCCAGCAATTTGGGAGGCCAGGCAGGTGGATCACTTGAGGCCAAGGGTTCAAGACCAGCCTGGCCAACATGGTAAGACCCCCATCTCTATTAAAAATACAAAAATTAGCCAGGCATGGTGGCAAGTGCCTGTAATCCCAACTACTCGGGTGGCTGAGGAATGAAAATTGCCTGAATCCAGGAGGTGGAGGTTGCAGTGAGCCGAGATCGTGCCACCGCACTTCAGCCTGGGTGACAGAGTGAGACTCTGTCTCAAAAAAAGAAAAAGAAAACCACTATCCTTTGCCATAAATAGCAAGCAATCATTACAACATGGAAATGAAGCGTCCACACTTATTCTTGTTTCACACTAAGGCCCTAAGCCTAAGGAGGGTTTTTCTATGTTAAAAGGAAATTAGGCAGTGTTCAGAGGGGTGTTAAAGATAGACTAGCAACTAACCAAAACTTTCTCCTCGATGTGAGCACTTGAGAAGGCACTAAAAAGAGAATGTTCTCCCTACGTGTACCATATCACCTACAATTACCTCGTGTACCACTATTTTGCAAATGCCGGAGGCAAGAGTAAATTTCGATGCCTTAGCCTAGCACTCAAAGCCCTCCTTGATTTGAATCTTTCCAGCCTCATCTTGCACAGCCCCTCCATACCCAAGCCTCACCCACTCTATTTGCCATCTCCAGAACATACCCCGAACTGTCTCACCTCTGTGCCTTTGTACAAGCTGCTCTCTCTACCTGGAAACCTCCATTTGTCAAGCTGCTGCTGTCTTCAAGATCTTCCTTGTCAGAATCTCCTGCTGTCCTCTTCTGCCACCCGCAGCAATGTGAGCCTTCACTGGCTGGCCTTTCCTACTCACTGGAGCAGAGCTACCAGCATCAGAATGCCCTGGACCAGGGATTGGAAATACAGATTCCTGAGTCTACACTCAAAGATTTCTTTCTTTCTTTCTTTCTTTTTTCCTTTTTTTTTAAATTTTAGAGACGGGGTCTTGAACTCCTGGGCTCAAGCAATCCTCCCATCTTAGCCTCCCAAAGTGCTGGGATTACAGGCTGAGCCACAGCACCCAGCCCCAAAGATTTTGATTTAGTAGGTCTGGGATGTCACCCTAAATGGGCCAGCTCCTTGAATCACAGGCCAGAGAGCTGAATATTATTCTCTGTTAAAACAAAAAAAATGTGTATGAAATGTATTTGAGAAAGATGTGGAAGGACATACTCCAAACTGTCAACATAGGTTGCTTTTAGCAGGGAGGGATACACAAAAATAAAAATGAAAACAAGGGAGGGGAAAATAATTAAAAGAGCCGTCTGTGAAACATTTCATGTACAATGAAATGATACAGTGTACATTTTTATATCAGAATGACCACAGCAGACCTTATGAAAAGATGGCCTCCCAAGCTGTATCTGTAATTATCTCTAGGTGGTAAATTTCAGGTGACTTTTACTTTCCTGTTTATTCTTTTCTATATTACTTGAATCTTCATTTTTTTACTTTTTTATTTTATTTTTGAGATAAAGTCTTGCTCTGTCACCCAGGCTACAGTGCAGTGGCGCGATCTCAGCTCACACAACCTCCACCTCCTGGGTTCAAGCGATTCTCCTGCCTCAGCCTCCCAAGTAGCTGGGATTACAGGTGCCTGCCACTACACCCGGCTCATTTTTGTATTTTTAGTAGAGACGGGGTTTTGCCATGTTAGCCAGGCTGGTCTCGAACTCCTGACCTCAGGTGATCCACCCACCTAGGCCTCCCGGTATTTTTATCTTTTTTTGAGACAGGGTCTTGTTCTATTGCCAAGGCTGGAGTTAGGTGGCACAATCACAGCTTACTGCAGTCCTGACCTCCTGGGCTCAAGTGATCCTCCCACCTCAGCCTCCTGAGTAGCTGGGACTATAGGCATGTGCCACCATGCCCAGCTATTTTTTTTTTTTTTTTTTTTTAGAGATGGGGGTCTCACCATGTTACCCAGTCTGGTCTCAAGCTCCTGGGCTCAGGTCATCTTCCCACCTAGGCCTTCTAAAGTGTTAGGATTATAGGCATGAGCCCTGAACTTTTTAACATGAACATTTATTATTTATATCTGGAAAAAAACAAAGTTATTTTTATTTGGGTGATACCGCGCTCAAAAAAAAAAGAGGCCGAGCATGGTGGCTTATGCCTGTAATCCCAGCACTTTGGGAGGCTGAAGCAGGTGGATCACTTGAGGCCAGGAGTTCAAGATCAACCTGGCCAACGTAGTGAAACCCACCTCTATTAAAAATACAAAAATGGGCCAGACGCGGTGGCTCACACCTGTAATCCCAGCACTTTGGGAGGCTGAGGCGAGTGAATCACAAGGTCAAGAGATCAAGACCATCCTGACAAACATGGAAAAACCCCATCTCTACTAAAAATACAAAAATTAGCTGGGCATGGTGGCACGTGCCTGTAGTCGCAGCTACTAGAGAAGCTGAGGCAGGGGAATCACTTGAACCCAGGAGGCAGAGGTTGCAGTGAGCCGAGATTGCACCACTGCACTCCAGCCTGGGTGACAGAATGAGACTCTGTCCCAAAAAAAAAAAAAAAAAAAAAAAAAAATTAGCCAAGTGTGGTGGCACATGCCTGTAATCCCAACTACTTGGGAGGCTGAGGCAGAATAATTGCTTGAACCTGGAAGGCGGAGGTTTCAGTGAGCCAAGATCGCACCACTGCACTCCAGCCTGGGCAACAGAGCAAGACTCCATCTCACAAAATAAAAAGCCAAAAAAAACTCTCGACAGTTCTGTTCCATGCCTGAGGTGTTTGTCTCAGGATCCCTGCCCAGCTGTGGACCACAGATGGCAAAAACCAAGGTCTGTCTATTACTGGGCATCCAGGGCTTCATAATCTCTACTACCTACACTCCTGGAACTCCACACGTTGTGCATGCCCCAGAAATGCTTGCCCAACAGACCCCAATCCACAATTTCTGAATGCATTTCTCACGACTTGCTGAAGGTGTCTTGTCAATCCAATTAGACTGTAAACTCTGGGAGTGCAGGGACAACGCTGACCTTCCTATTATTCCCCTCGCCCCTGCCCAGCTCTGGTCTGGGCACACAGTGACCCTCAAGGGCAGCATAAAGACTTGAGGCAGAAAAACACCTGTAGAAGGAAAAGGCTGGATCCTGGGAGCTCCTCTGTCTGCTTTGCTGCCGTCCTCTTCTTCACCAGCAAAGGACATGCTAGTTCCATGCAGCAAAAGTTTCCAAACACGTTAGCCTAAGAATTTCGAGTCGTGCAAAAAATAAATAAATTCCCAGAGTCACAGGGTTAAAAAAAATCAGATTCCAGGGCCCCACCCTTGTTGTTCCTGAGTCAGACTCCCCAGTCAAACTGCCAGAGAATCTCTTCTTTGAGCAAACACTTCAGGCAACTTTCCCAGGATAAAGCAAGTTTCAGAAACTCTCACACAGCGTCTTGGGTATCTCAGATATGGCTCTTGCCCTCGAGATGTTTACGAATGAAAATAAGAAATCTGGTTCCAACAAGCAAAAGCCCAGAGAGATCTCAAGTACAAAGATACAAATCAAAATTAGTAGAGAAATAAATTAGCCAGAAAGTTGTACTTCAGTCGCAGGGCTGGCTGAGGTCACTGCCTGCAAAGCAGACTGCTGGCAGTTCTGCAGTATACCAACTGAATGGCCTTGAACAAGTCCCATCTCCACTCAGAGCCTCCGTTTCTGCATCTGCAGAGTGGGGATATGTGGGCCTAACTCACAAGAAGATAAAATGCAACTGTGAATATAGTAAGCCGGCATGTGATTAAATGTTAGTTTTCATCCTAAGAAAAATAGCTAATATTTCTGAGCACTTACTGCCAAGCCTTGTGCTAACATTCACTTGCTCCTTTAACTCCCACAACAACCCCATGAGGTAGGATCTATTATCCCCATTTCATGGATGAGGAAATTAAGGCACAGAAGGGTTAAAAAAAAAAAAACATGCTCAGGCCAGGTGTGGTGGATCACCCCTGTAATCCCAGCACTTTGGGAGGCGGAGGCTGGAGGATCGCTTGAGGCCAGGAGTTTGAGACCAGCCTGGGCAACATAGCAAGACCCTGTCTCTATTTAAAAAAATGTTAAAGCTGAGTGCAGTGGCTCACGCCTATAATCCCAACACTTTGAGAGGCTGAGGCAGGTGAACTCTTGAGCCCAGGAATTCAAGACCAAACTGGGCAACATAGTGAGACCCCGTCTCTAAAAAAAAAAAAAAAAAATCAGCTGGGCGTGGTGGTGCATGCCTGTGATCCCAACTACTCAGGAGGCTGAGGTGGGAGAATCGCTTGAGCCCAGGAGCTTGAGGTTGCAGCGAGCTATGATTGTGCCATTGCACTCCAGCCTGCACGACAGAAAAAGGTCTGTCTTTAAAAAAAGAAAGAAAAGAAAAGAGTACTCAACGTCTCCCAACTAGGAAATGGCAGAGCTGGGATTAGAGCCCAGAAAACCTATCCTGTAGCCCCAGGAGGAAATAGCCTCATGGGAAAAAAAACCGCCAGGTGTTTAGGGCTTATGAAAATTATACATTGGCTGCTTTGGGAAAAGTGGCCCTCTCAGCTGAGCAGGACCCAAAACAGCAAAAGGGCCGAGGTCAGCCCGCCTGCCCTAGGTGTGGTCCCAGCTGGGATTCCTAGCCCTGCGAGTTTTCCCAGATTGGCCAACACACATCCGAACCCCTCAGATCAGGAAGCGCCTGGGTCTTGCTAAAGCCATTTACTGTTGACAGATGTCCCACCAATGGCCGAGTGCCAGTCAGTCACGGCCTCAGTGCAAGACCTCGTCCCTCCCAGAAAGCCGTGGCTCCGGACTCCACCCACTGAAAACAGGGCTTCTGTGGGACTGCAACGGGACACGAAGAAAAACATGCTGAACCTGGTCTCCATGGGACCTGAGGTGCGAGTCACATTCATTCACATCCCTGGCTTGGAGCCTCTCCACTCACAAGTTATTGATAATTGAGAAAATAAAACAACATGCGATCGTATTTCCGGGCAGACAGATGCAAGAGCCTGGGGCACCGTTGTTTCTGGGGAGGGGAAGGGAACCGAGAGACCCAAGAAGAGGGTGGACAGGCTGGGCGCGGTGGCTCACCCCTGTAATCCCAGCACTTCGGGAGGCCAAGGCGGGCAGACACTTGAGGTCAGGAGTTCGAGATCAGCCTGGCCAACATGGTGAAATCCTGTCTCTACTAAAAGTATAAAAATTAGCCAGGCGTGGTGGCAGGTGCCTGTAATCCCAGCTACTCAGGAGTCTGAAGCAGGAGAATCACTTGAACCTGGAGACAGAGATTGCAGTAACCGCAGATCGTGCCGTTGCACTCCAGCCTGGGCAACAGAGCAAAACTCCATCTCAAAGAAAAAAATAAAATAAAAGGACTGTGAGTGGGAGCAGATGTAGGGAGAGGCAAGGGATGGAGTATCAGGGGGTGGGAGGAGCATTGGGCTGGTAACTGTGAGGCCTTCCCTCACATCCTCCTGTTCCTGGGCTCTCTGCTAATCAAACCCAATCACCAGGCAGAGGCATTCGAGGCCCCTGTGCACAGAGCAGGGTGGAGACAGGAGAAGCGACAGCAGAAGAGGCCAGACCACCACCCGATAGATGTGAGTAACTATTCAAAACTCAGAGCATCTGAACAGAAAAAGGTAAATGCTATGAGCTCAAAACTTCAAGGTTCTTTGCATCAGTGCCGTTTCTTTTTTTTTCCTGAAGTTATTTCAAGCTGGGTTTCTACCACTTGCAACCCAAAACAGTCTTTCCGAACAGAGACGGAAACATGGAAGATTTCATGGAAGTGGAAACCTGGCATTATAATTGCCCACTGCTTATAAAATTCAGGCCAGTACGGTGGCTCAAGCCTGTAATCCCAACACTTCGGGAAGCCGAGGCGGGCAGATTGCCTGAGCCCAGAAGTTCAAGACCAGCCTGGGCAACATTGCAAGACCCTGTCTCTGTTAAAAATTTTTTATTTAAAGCCAGGTGCGGTGGCTCGCACCTGTAATGCCAACTCTGGGAGGCTGAAGCAGGTTAATTGCTTGAGCCCAGGAGGCCAAGACCAAACTGGGCAACATAGTGAGACCCCATTTCTTAAAAAAAGAGGAGAAAAGAAAATCAGCGGGGAGTGATGGCACATGCCAGTGGTCCCAGCTGTTCAGGAGGCTGAGGTGGAAGAATCACCTGAACCCAGGAAGGTCAAGGCTGCAGCAAGCTGTGAAAGTGCCACTGCACTCCAGCCTGGACAACAGAGCAAGACCCTGTCTCAAAATAAGTAGGCTGGGCAAGGTGGCTCACGCCCATAATCCTAGCACTTTGGGAGGTCCAGGCAGGCAGATCATTTGGGGTCAGGCGTTTGAGACCAGTTTGGCCAACATGGTGAAACCCTGTCTCTACTAAAAATACAAAAAAATTAGCTGGGTGTGGTGGCGGGCGCCTGTAATCCCAGCTACTTGGGGAGGCTGAGGCAGGAGAATTACTTGAACCTGGGAGATGAGATCAAACCACTGCACTCCAGCCTGGTTGACAGTGTAAGACTCCATCTCAAAAAAAAAAAAAATTGGCCTGGCACAATGCCTCACGCCTGTAATCCTAGCACTTTGGGAGGCTGAGGTGGGTGGATCACCTGAGGTCAGGAGTTCTAGACCAGCCTGGCCAACGTGGCGAAATCCCATCTCTACTAAAAAATACAAAAATTAGCTGGGCATGGTGGCACGTGCCTGTAATCCCTGCTACTTGGGAGGCTGAGGCTGGAGAATCACTTGAATCCAGGAGGCAGAGGTTGCGGTGAGCCGAGATTGCGCCACTGCCCTCCAGCCTGGGTGACAGAGTGAGACTCCATCTCAAAAAAAAGAAAAAGAAAAAGGAAGATTAATTAATTTAGCTTAATTCAGCTGCTTCACCTTTGCCTACAAGGGTCTGGGCCCCCCGTCCACTCCATGATCACCTTTTTCCACCGTCCCCTGCATTGCACAGCAGGTCACCTGTAGCTCCCCCCATACCCACAGCCCCTTCCTGCCTGGGCCCTTCACCCGTGCTTTTCCTCCTGCCTGAACCCCTCTCCTAGCTCTTCCTCCCATCAGCACCTCCTTTTCATCCCTTCCCTATCCTGTGGTCTGAATGTCCGTGTCCTGCCAAAGTTCATGGGTAGAATCCTAGCCCCCCAGGTGGTGGCATTAAGAGGTGGGGCTTTTGGGGGACAGGATTAGTTTCCTTATCAAAGAGGCCCAAGGGAGCTTGTTTGACCCTTCCACCAGGTGAGGGCCCCACAAGAAGGTGTCCTGGGGCGCGGTGCAGGTATCCAGACTGGAGGGACGGCGGATAGAGGAGATCAACATGACTAAGTTTGAAAAAAAAAAAACCGGAGGGGGTGCGTAGGGTGGGAGGAGGAGAGCGTAAAGATCATGGTGTCCCTGATCATGGCGAGAAATCCGTTAAAAAAAAAAAAAAAAAAAAAAAAGAATCCAGACTCTATGAGAAATAAATATTGTTTATAAGTAACCCAGTTTATGTTTTTTGGGGTTTTGTTTGTTTGTTTGTTTATTTTTTTCAAGATGGAGTCTCGCTCTGTGGTCCAGGCAATCTTGGCTCACTACAACCTCCGCCTCCCAGGTTCAAGCGATTCTCCTGCCTCAGCCTTCTGAGTAGCTGGAATTACAGGCACCTGCCACCACACCCGTCTAATTTTTGTATTTTTAGTAGAGATGAGGTTTCACCATGTCGGCCAGGCTGATCTCGAACTCCTGGCCTCAAGCAATCCTCCCGCCTCGGCCTCCCGAAGTGTTGGGATTACAAGCATGAGTCACTGTGCCTGGCCTATAGTATTTTTTTTACAGCAGCAGGAACAGACTAAGACATCCTACTTCTCAGCTTAAACGTCACCTCTGCACAGAGCCCTTCGTGACACATCTGAACAGATTTTTTTCTGTGACTCTGCATCCCTGCACCGTGTTTGCTCTTTCAGGGTACTTTTTAACATTTGTGAGGGCGTATGTGCCTTCTCTTCCAGGCTGAGGCTTCATAAAGTCTCTGTTTTGTTCATAACTAGAACAAGCCCTAGCACCTAGCAGTGGGTGTTCATTAAACATATGAAGAATGAATCAGCAAGTGATTTCACGTCTCATCATCTCTAAAAAGCCTGTTTGATCACTTCCAGGACCAGGAAACTCCTGACATTATCAAGGATGCCATTGCAAAGCGAAATGTCATAAACACATAGGAGTTGATTTCTTTCCAGAAGCTGGCAGTCCAGGACTGGTGTGAGGGCTCCACAGTGTCAGCAGAGCTTTGACCTTCCTGCTGTACCATCTTCAGTGGGTGGCTTCTGTACTCAGGGTTACCTCATGGTCCAAGATGGCTGCTGGACTCTCGCCATTGTATCCAAATATGAGGCAGCAAAAAGAGGTAGAATAGAGGACAAAAGCAGCGAACCTCAAGGCTGAGGCTCCTGGAAGCCTCATATACTTTTACCTACTACAGTCCATGGAACATAGCGTAGTCATAGGGCCACGCCAAAATGCAAGAGAGACTGGGAAATGTCTTCATTCCAGGCAGCAAGATTGGAATCTGTTATTAAGGAAAAAAATAGGAAGAATGGATATTAGGTTTGTAACTAGCTACAAATCATCATGGCGTCTCCATTTATTGAGCGCTTACTAAGAGTCCTAAGTACTTAATAAATGTGGCCTTGGGCAGGGCGCGGTGGCTCAAGCCTGTAATCCCAGCACTTTGGGAGGCTGAGGCAGGCGGATCACGAGGTCAGGAGATCGAGACCATCCTGGCTAACACGGTGAAACCCCGTCTCTACTAAAAAATACAAAAAACTAGCCGGGCGAGGTGGCGGGCGCCTGTAGTCCCAGCTGCTCGGGAGGCTGAGGCAGGAGAATGGCGTAAACCCAGGAGGCGGAGCTTACAGTGAGCTGAGATCCGGCCACTGCACTCCAGCCTGGGCAACAGGGTGAGACTCCATCTCAAAAAAAATAAAAATAAAAATAAAAATAATGTGGCCTTGTCAAACAAGATTGCCCTCTGCCCCTTCGGTAGCCAGGGACACATACACACATGCACACACACGCACAGGAGTCACTTGGGCCTGGCCCCCTTCACTGGGGACACTGACATGCGAACTCTTTGTCATATGACTCTGAGCAGGAAGGAGGTAGTGTCCTCTTAGCATAATAAGATCAGGATTCATAGAATTAAATCAAAGTGCTGTAACTCAGAGGAATATCAATTTCCCATTCAGAAGATAGAGGGGAATGTCTTCAGAAGGAAATTGATCTTTATGGTTTGAGACATGTTTAATTTTAAATATGTTGAGAGAAAACCAGCTACAGCCTGGCGTGGAAACTCCTGTTGTTCCAGCCAGCGCCTTGGAGAACCAGAGACCACGCCCCCTTCCTCCCTGCTAAGGAGTCGACAAACATCGAACAGAGGACCAAAGTCCCCTGTTCCTCTCTGCAGTCAGCAGAAATCAGAGAAGAAGATCTTTAGACAGTCAGCAGACTCGGGAACTGTGTACTTTGCAATTTACAAAAAGGGGCTCTAGGACTTTTGAAAAATTTTTTTACTTTTATTTTTTTGAGACGGAGTCTCGCTCTGTCGCCCTGGCTGGAGGGCAGTGGCGCGATCTCCACTCACTGCAACCTCCACCTGCAGGTTCAAGCTATTCTCCTGCTTCAGCCTCCCGAGTAGTTAGGATTACAGGCGCCCTCCACCACACCCAGCTAATTTTTGTATTTTTAATGAAGACAAGGTTTTGCCATGTTGGCCAGGCTGTTCTCCAACTCCTGACCTCAGGTGATCCACCCACCTTGGCCTCCCAAAGTGCTGGGATTACAGGCATGAGCTACCGCACCCGGCCTGGGATTTTTTTATTTTTACAGAGATGGGTGATGATTCATGGGACGTTGGAGATGCCCCAAGACTGGAGATATGATTTGGGGGATCCTGAGGATTGGTGTCCTAGGCAAAACTCGGGGAGGCTGGATTTTG